TTTCGTGTAGCATCCGGAAGTCGGGCTTGCCATCGATGCGCAGCGGGAGCGTCACGGCCCGGACAGGTCGAACAAGAACGCGCCCCCGCCGAGGATGTGCATGTCCGAGACGTGGATCGGGTGCACGTCCTGATGCTCGTGCACGGCGCCGACGCTTGCGTGTGAGTCGGTGTGACCGCCTTGCCGGCGCGTCAAAGAGTGGCGGCAGATGCACAGACGCGAGCGGGGGTTTATAGAGAGCGCGGACGCCATGCTGCCGCTGCCGGAGCTCTTCGTGGACGACGGCATGCTGTGCACGACGCCGGCGTTGTCGGGTGCGATGAGATGTGTCCTGCCGCAGAGCCGATCGAGCTCGCACGCGGCGGGGTCCGTGCGCCCGGTGCTGCAGCTTCCGGACGATGTCCTGCGGCAATGTCAAAGGGGGCGGGTTAAGGCGCAGTCAGTGGGGAGAGGGAGGAAGAGGGACGCACGATGCTGTTCCCGGCCGTCATTGTGAACAGGCTAGCAGCAAACACTTCCCCGCAAGGGACTTCTTCATGAGCTTGGCTCTTGCACGGTCAATCCTAGCCAGTGCAGAGGTAAACTTCGGCCTCTACCTCTTGAGGAACGCCCGTGACGCACTGACATGACCCGCTGTATGTCGACATCCGGAGAATTCTGATGCCCATTACATAAGGGCTGACGCTGTTTCTGTGCTCGGACTCGCAGAGCGCGTTGGTGTGCGATTCTTGAGCGTGCGGGTGGTGCGCGCCGTATCTGAAATCTCGGCCCTTCTGGGGTCCAACATATGTAGCATACAGATTACATACGGGCAGCATAATTTACGATATGCATATGTACGCATATGATATGCCGTGCGTACAAGTAGGAGAATGATTACGGAAACCCCCATAATTAATCTTAAGATATGCTTAATCTGAGATTATAATGGTATGTAATCATAATTTTGGTGAGCACTACTCTCGCAGTGCAAATAAAGCTATTGGTTGAATACGCGCCTAATTTAGTCGTGAAGTGCGCACCGTTCTTGACTGCTACCTCCATCTTCAGCTGGACTGGTATACCTCCTGGCGCAGAGACAATATTTCGGTAGACCTCAGCTATGTCTATACTACTTGGATACACAATTCGGGGCTGGGCTAAGCCGCCCGTCCTAGCTGGTCAGGCGTTGACACGCTTCAGCACCTCGCGCAGATGGCAGGAGGACCTCTATCCATCAAAAAGGATTGATTACGAGTTAAAGTATGCGGAGAAAATCCACAAAAAGGCGGCGGCGTATGTCTCGTTTCTTGCGCATGACAGCAGCAATATCTGAAGTGTGAATAGAGAAGGCATACCGGTTGAGCAACTGAAGACGCGCCTGAGGGAGCAGGAGATGGCTAAGAGGAAGGCAAGCCTAAGCAAACCACTTCCCTTCCAATCACCAGAAGCACCGAGGACCGCAGCGCAGCCGCAACAGTCGCCAGGCACGATAGCAGCCTCCTCAGTTACCTCGTCTTCAGCATCCCGGAAGGACGGCTCTCCAGTGAAGGTACGTTATATACACGTCACTCTCAACTTTCGTCACTGTTCGTATCTCACAGTCCTTATCCAATATTTTGAACCTCGAGAAACTTGTACAAACCCCCCATACGACTGAGCAAATCGAGTTACTCTGGCGTGTATATCATGGCTCACGCTCCGGCGGCACCGGTCGAGGCTACCTTTGTGCCACCATTCCGGTCGATACGTATGAGAAGATGGCAAGCGCCGCAGCCAAATACCCAAGCTTTGTTATACCTGTCCCACGCGACGCGTCACAAACAGCTGAAGGACAACGCGCGTACGAAGTCTACTTCATGGAGTGGGCCTTCCACGGTTCACCGGCCGAACCCATCGCCAACGCTGAGCTGTTCCAAGAGCCGCAAACCTCTACCAACCCGCAGATATCAACAGTCCTGTTCACCCCCTTGCAGGAGTACAAGCTTCGGAACTCGTTTGCGACACCATACCTCGTTTTAACATACCATACTGACCTAGCACGGTCGCATGGCGTTGTCCTGTTGCGGGGCGAGATCACACCATCATCTGGCGCAGCTGTCGCAGCAAATGGTGACAGTAGGTATCTACTAAACCAGGAGGACGCACAGTTGCTCGCGATGGGTATGCAGAAGTTTTATCTGTGGAAGGATGAACACGCGGACGGTGCAAAACTACTGAAGGCTTTCCACGAAAACCCTGCCGAGTTTGAATGGGAAGGCTTGCTCAAACACGCTGATTTTTCGGCCTAGAGCTTAATGGTATGTCGTCTCTCGGTTGGTCGCTGCTAATGCTAAGCGTGTTGCATGGTCTCGAAGATGTTTGGCTAGTTAGATTTGTTGCGTTGTTTGATTTGCGAGATGTGAGTGCCTGCCCAAACCTTGACGCAGTCACGGCGTGGGCTGGCTTTCCTGTCCCTCATGGTCAGCCTATGGTGCAGAGCAGTGCCGCGTAGCGATGACGCGATTTAGCTTAACGGAACCAAAGTAACTACGCGCGTCGAACCTCGCGAACCTGCCTTTTCAGTCTTATCTGCTTGTCGTGTCGTGAGGCTTCAAAAGCCATGCCCTGCGTGACTGGGACTCTGTTTCTCCTTCCTCGCTTTCTCCCACTTCCGGCGGTTCACTGAAACCTCGTCTCCTCACGACTCTTGACGACCCTCAAGACAACCAACATGAAGTTCAAGGTTTTTCTAACGACCATCAAATCGCGGTTCACGACGACGAAATCTATCGTTGCACAGGTGGGCTTCTCTGCTTCATGTCAGCCCATGCAGCGCAAGAAGCTTTCACCAAAAGAACTCGAAATGAAATTCTTGGAGGAGATGGCGGACGCCTACCACGAGCTGAAGTTCACGAAGGCGGTCGGAGTCCGCTTGACTGCGAACAACTTCAAGGTGGGTTCTCTGTCAGCCTTCTGCCGATTTCACGTTACGATGAACTGTCAGGTCGTCCGTGACGCGTCAGGCGCAATCGCAAGCCACCTCCACACTTCGACCAGCTTCCACACCCTCCTCACCGGCATCACTGCCTGCCCGCATACACTAGCGCTCACCGGCGCTACGCTTTTCGATCAAGCTTCCCCTCCATGCAATGTTAAGCTGAACTCTGATGCGATACCCGCTGAGAAGCCCAACGCGTCTACCTCGCGCATCTTGCGTATTGACGATTTTGAGCCCATCAGGCACCTTGGGCGTGGCGGATTTGGAAGTGTTTTCCTTGTCCGCGACAAGTTCACGAACCGCTTCTACGCGCTGAAGTCGATCGACAAAGAGCGCATCCCGTTCGCATTCTATTCGAGGATTTTTGAAGAGCAGCGCGTCGGGAAGTCGCTTGCTAACAGCAAATGGGCCGTAGGCGTCGAAGGAAACTTTGACGACTTAGATAATTTCTACATTCTCATGGTACGTCTCGCCACCTGTTGGGACGAGTGAACTTCCTGGCACAATTGCAGAAATATGTCCCCGGTGGAGATCTCGTGCACAGGACCAGGAACTTTGGGGCACTTGGGAGCAGGCTGTTGCGTGTGGTGTTTGCCGAACTGGTACGCACTGCATTATTTGCTATTTTCTCCTGCAGCTGACTCTCTTCCAGGTTGTGGCAGTCGAAAACCTCCACCAGCGGCGCATCATGCATCGCGACCTCAAACTCGAGAACATTCTCATTGACGAGCAAGGGCACATCGTCCTCGCTGACTTCGGTCTCTCCGAGGCCTTCGGCATCGACAAGACCGAGCGTCCTTGGGAGAATACACCTGCCTGGGCGGCGTGCACTGCAGATGAGAAGCTGGGAGACACTTCCTCGCAGGATCGAGGTCGCGACCTCTCTGCTGAACTCGCGGGCACTCCGGGATACCAGGCGCCCGAGCAGCTCTGTGGCAACGGACAACACTCGTACGAGGCGGATATCTGGAGCCTTGGTATTATCCTCCACGTTTTCCTCACTGGACTGGTATGTAATTTCCCGTCTGCTTTGCGGTACTCACTGACCCGCACCTTTAGATGCCTTTCGGGACTAACTATTCAATGCCTGTTCCCGAGGTTAACCGTCGCATTTTGACATTCCCCCTCATACTCTCCGCGTACATCGACCTCAAGTCGCACGACCTGCTGTCGCGAATATTGGAGAAGGATCCGCGCCGTCGGATCACCATCCCCGAGATTAAAGCACACCCCATGCTCTGCGACATGTAAATAATTCGCTGCGCTTTCCGATGACGAGTTGCTGACATGATCTTTAGTGATTGGGATGTCGTCGCGAGGCGTGAGGCAAACCCTACCCAGCAGGCGCGACTCTGCATGGGCTCCGCACCGCATCTCATCCGGAGGCAACCCGACATCACGATCCCAACCGGCGATGCTTACGAGTCTGGCCGGGCACCCTTCCCCTGGTTCAACTTTGCGGCTCCGAGCTTCTCAGAGCCCGCCGAGCTTATTCCCGAACTTGTCAGCACGTCAGACGTCCTCACGGTTCAACGGCACCTTCCCACCGACAACAGCGACGCTCTCTCCACAACCTCCTCAAGTTTTCGTTCGCTCAGGTCCGGTCTCTGCTCTTAGAAAACCCCAGAAAAACGTGGCGTTTACGCTACTATAATGCGGCATCTCAAGATTCGTTTCGGCATGTTGGTGGAGGTGAAGCCCAGGACCGAAGGGACTCGAATGATTATCGATTAAAAGAAAAGATGAGGAAAAATTTGACACAGAACACTTCCATCTCCCTTACTCTCTTGATCTTCTGCTCACTCGCTCTCCTGCTCTTTTGCTCTCTTACTTATCCTGCATTTCGACAGTTTACCTCTGCTATCGCGTGTTTCCTTCTTTCCCCCTGCTATGCCCTCCGCTATCGTAGTTGGATTCACTGTTTTTTCTTTATTCTTAGAGATCTTATGGGACAAGTCTATAATCAGTACGATCCCACGTACACGAGTCTGCGTGGCTGGGAGCTGGCGCTTACGAAAAGCCTTCGTGGCGCTCACGTTAAACCTTCAGTACTCAGTTACAGTACTCGTATTTAGTCCGTGTCTCTCCCTCACCTTCAATATTTTGTTGGTCGGCTGCGATGATAACCGTCCCAACAATTCCCGCCCGTGTACTATAAACTTTAGTGACTCTAATACTTGTCCCTGGCCCAACGTGCTCGGCAGATTTAACTAAGCTTGATTGTCATTGTAGATTATGTTTATCCAGCTGGTATCGGTGAGATGCGTGAAACGAATTGAAAACGAGCGACATTTTGGTTTTATGGAGGTATTAACCACGGTCCGTGGTAGCAAACCAATATAACCAGAGACGAAAATGCATTATCTGCCCGCAAGAGGCGACCTCACCGGCCGACTCTTGGCTCCGAGCCTTTTCTCCCTGACCCGTGCGCGCGAGGACGGGGTCAGATCAACCGGCGTCCAGGGAATAGGATTAGCATGGAATGGCGTAGTCGAGCCGTATTCTTGAATAGGCGAGATCGTATGTCGTAGCCGCGATGCTCGGACCCATCGAGACTGGCCGCTGCCCTCTGGCAACGACTGAGAACTCCGTAGGCCGGATGTGCCCAGGTTTACGCGCGGGAAACCATCATCGGGGATAATTGGAAAGTCGTCAGCTCCGCGCGTGGTCGCATTCACGCTGGACCACGAGGGAGGCGGCGGCGGCATCGTGCTGGACATGAAGTCTCTAAGTAGGGGCGTACTCTCGCTGTTGGCCGCGCGTGAGGTAAGAGCTTGCGCACGGGCGCGCATGTGCGACCGGTTGCGTTCGTATTCCTCCTCTTCGTCTGTTGGAATCTCGTTGCCGTCCGGGTCAAGTGGCGCTACGACCCTGAAGTTAGCATGCTGAATTTACAGCTAGACATACGTTGCTTACGTCTGCGGCGCGCTGCACGAAGCGCATTGAGGCTAGAGACAATAGGTACGGTGTACGATGACGATGTCCGCTCCACTTCATCGTTCATGCTGTCCCAGACAACGGTGGTAGAGGGTCGCGGATCAGGCAGAACAGTCGAAGAGCCAGCATCTCGGGAGGCCCTTGTCCTCCCGAGCATGTCAGCTCGACTACGGGCAGAGTCAAGACCCACGAGGGGTGGCTGCGGTCGCCTCGTGCTGCCCATCATCCAACTATATGGATCGTCATCGTCCTCCACTTCTGGCGTAGCGATGAAATCCTCGTAGCGACTTGATGACGCTCTGGACAGCGCACTCAGGTACAGACCCCGCGGGAGCGGGATTTGCCCAAGGTCAAAATCTAATCCTTGCTCCTCGTCGGGGTTCGAGGAGATATCTAAGCCGGGTAACTCCGGTGCGTCATCAGAGATGGAGGGCCCGCGCTCTGAAGCTCTTCTCGGGGTAAGAGGTGGTAACGGGTGAACTTCAAGTCGGGAGCTTGCTCGCGGGACACCAGATGAGCCGGAGTATCTCGCTACCAAGCTATTGACGGGGCGGCGGTCGCGGAGATTGTCTCGCCACAGCGCGGTACGGTGACGAACTTGCCAGGGACGATCGGAAGAGGTCTCAGGACGTAATTCTGCGGCTGTGGGTGTTTGCGCTTCAGTAGTACCATCAGCGGACGAAGGACGATCCGCTATATTGACCGGTGTGCGTCTGAAATTACGTGACGATTCGAGGAGCCGCTCGCGTTGTCGGTTTAGAAGGGTAACAGTGAAAGAGGATTCGCCAATCGTGTCATGAATACGAGCATCGGTAGAGACCTCTGCGTTTCTCGCAGCGGCGGCTCTGGCTTCCACGCGGCGACCAAGGGTGGTGGTCGGATCCGAGGAGTTCGAGTCGCGTCCATACATTAGATGAGCCATGAGAAAGTTCCTCCGAGCTTGTACCGGATCGCGAGAACGTGGGCCGAACAGTACTGTCGACGGCGGACGCGACGACTCGCCGTCGGAAAGCGCAGGGTTGGGCCCATCGCTCGGCACACGCTCAGTAAGCTCTATGAACCGCTGTCGGATAGTTTCGAGGGCCTGAGATGTGCGCTGAATATGAGTAGATGTATTGGCGGAACGGTTGGGCAAGGTCCGGGCGGGAGTTCCACCCTCGCCTGTGGTCGTGTCATACAGGGCAGCATCCGGTGAAGTGGAGGTTGGCCCAGAGAGCACGATAGCGGAGTGATTGGGACCCATGCCAGTGTCGTTCCGCGCTTGTTCGTGTTCATTGGACATTGTATGGAGTCTCTGTTGTAGGCTACTCGTGAGGGCAATGAGACGTTCGTATGCAGCTTCGATGGCGGATGAGACACGTTGAATTGACTCGCGAGACGAGGTCAACGTCCGGAGAATATCTTGCTCCGTGAGCTGAATCGTTGACGGTTCGTTTCCAGCGGTAGAGCGTGGAGGTTGCACAACAGTAGTATGAGGGAGAGAGGCCGAGCTAGGAAGTGAACGGGTGGGAGCACCGGGGGCGCTGCAAGTCTGGCAGGGACAAGATGTGACGTCTTGGTGCATATAGGGTTAGCACAACGAGACTTGAGAGTAGGGAAACCCTTCCTGACGTATTTGTGCGCTGAATAGCGGTCTGCCCATGTGCCTTCAGGTGTACCAATTGTGTAGCCCTGCCGAGGCTGTGCTAGTAACCTCGTAACAGTACCGGCAAAAATTCTGCCTTCGCAACAAGAGCTTAGCCTGTACAGAACAGTATTCGGCCAAACGAGAGAGAGAGGAACAGAGAAAGCGAATGTTAGAGGATAAGGTCAGATGTTGCCGTCACCGCGGGAATATCTGGTCTGAGTCTGTCCGATTCAGGAAGTGAGGCGCATCACCGCATCACCACATGCCATACAGGCGTCCAGATTTCGTCCGCTCGGGACAAAACGAAAAGCAAATGGATGGATACGACTAAACTGCTAGAGTAAATATGCATATGATATGTCCTCACTCGCTCTCCTCGTCCTCGTCCTCGTCCTCATCGCTATACTCCTCCGCCTCGTCGTCAATAAACCATTCGTCCTAGGACCGCCTTCTTCGTCACTGTCATCACCGTCGTCCTCATCGTCCTCGTCTTCATCTCCATCCTCTTCTTCCTCCTCTCCATCATCCTCCTCCTCTCCATCGCTTCCACCCAGCTCGACATCTTCTACGCTGCCAGCATCATCGCCACTCTCTACCCCAACCTCCATACCCTCGACGTCCTCGTCTTCTTCTTCACTTTCACCCTCCACGTACTTCGCGGCCTTCTTGCGCTGCTTCTTCTTTTTCCCCTGCTCTTTTTGCACCTGGGGTACAGTCAGGGGAGCAGGCGCGGTTGAGGAACGCATCTCTATTTGCGAAATGACCATGTCCAGACGACCGCTCAGCGACAGAAGGCTCTCCTGCAAAGCGAGCCGTGATGTTAGTGTCGCATGAAGGCCAGACAGACGCGCAACGAGATCGGGCATCTTGAGAAAAGTTAATTATCGACACTGTCTAAGGGTAGTGTAGCACTCACGGTAAGGAGGTGGCCACCGTGGACAATTAGCACTGCCCTGATCCAGCGCACAAGGCCAGCTCCTCTCTGCGAGCCTGCTCCCGCGCCTCCACCCTTTCCCCTGCCTACCCTCTTGCCCCTTCCTAGTCGTTCAACGCATGCAGTTACCAGCGGCACCGCCAGTTGCGGAGGCAGTCGCTTGACGGTATTTTGTATCAGGCTAGCGTTCGAGTGCGCCAGACATGTCTCGAGGAGACCAGAGTCAGAGGAGTGCAGGGCTTGAATGAGCGTACGAGTGAGCGAGGCCGCTGGCACCGCCTGGATCACTGTATTTTCTTTCTGCGCGGACTTTGAAGGAGCATCTTCATTGTCAGACTCCCGGGGTGCTGCTGCGGCATCGCCAGCGAGAGCGGTCAGTCGCTGGCCCAGACTCATCTCGGCGAGCTCAGCGTCAAGTTCGCCCTCAATCTCACGGTTGGTGAGGTCGTCCATAGAGGCATCCTGAGCGAGTTCATTACCGGAGCGAACGGCGATCAAGGAGGATTCGGCGTAACGAGTTGTCGGAGCACCCTGTCATTCTGTTATTTCTTGAAGGTCAGTTGCGAACGTAGGAAAACTCACTATAAACTCATCTGCATCTGAGACGAGGCCCACCCCGGCGGGTAGTGGCGCAATGACGACGTCCTGGACGAAATCTCCCGATGCGTCAAGGTATTCCTGCGCGACGAATGTAGCAAAGCATACGCAAAATTGTAGATAGCACTCACAACAACTTCGAAAACAGGCCTCGCGCCGCCGGCCAATCTAGCAATGCGAACCTTGCCGTCCTGTGGACCGACAAAAGTCGCAGCAACTATGTCAGAGCGTATCTCGGCCTGCTTCTTTGAAGCGGAGACGCTAATAGTTGACCTTGGAGAGAGCGTGGGGATCTTCGACTTCGCTTTCGAAGACGCGGACGAAGCAAGACTCGCTTCGAGAGGGAAAATGGCCACACGGCCAGACGTGGAGACGGCGAGCAGCGTACTCGAGTTCGACGAAGGCTGTAATGAAAGGGTAATCATTCGCACATCCGAGTCCAACGGAAGCGAAGCAGTGACATGGCCCTCTGAAGAAGAAGAGCCTTCTTGAGGGACATCCCACAGATATACAAAGCGATCCGCCTCAGCAGCAGACAGGAAGCGCGATGGAGAGTCCCACTGTAAGCTCTTGACCGGAGATGCATGTCCAGTAAACGAGGCTGTCTTCCTCGGCTTCGATGGTGCATCAAGGGAGGAGTCTGGCCGCGACGCCACCGTCAGGAGGTGAATGGCATAGTTGGCAGCCAAGACTTCGCTCGTGTCCTCGATTTCTTCTGGAACCAATGGCCTGACAGCAATGCAGGAATACGGTATTCGCTCCTCACTCTTCCAGCTGCCGACCAAGCTGCTATCGCGCACGCTCCACAAGCGCAGACGCCGTCCGCGCCAGATGTCCATAGGTGTGTACATTCGCTGCTCTGGTCTTCGGCTATAGCAATAGACACAAGAGCAGCGGTACTCAAAGAATGAGATATTGTCTTGACCACCTTTCCGTGTGCGGGGGAGAAGAGAACAACAGAGCCGCTGTTCAGACCCAGTAAAACCCCGGGGATAGATAGCTTGACAGTGCTGTCACCTTCGTCCTGGTTCTTTCGCTTCCTCTTCCTCTTGGGTTCGTCCTCAGATTGTGAAGTGTCGAAGCGAGCCCAGCATGATGAGGACACACGAGAAGAGTCGAATACATGTTCAGCGACAGACTGGCCGGTAGTCGTGTCATATACTCGCAAGCGATGCTTGTCTACGGCGAGCGATAGGAACGCAAAGAGCTCTCCGCCGGGCGAGAAGGTCGAGAGGGAGTGGGTCGACGAGGCGTCCTCCACGGCAGGCTGAGAAATGCCCGATGTATTAACCGGGCGGGATTTTGGGGGCTTGATGCGCGGCTTTTTGGGCTTTGAAGGCGTGGACGCCATTCTAGCTTTCTAGTAAGCCGCGGAGGGAGTGAGAGGAGGAACGAGGGCGAGGGCGAGCGTGACATACCTCAACTCTCAGAGAGACTTGCTGCTCCGGCGTCTGTCCAAATTTTATGCTGTCCTGCATTTGGCACCTTTGGGCGCCTATATCTAGCTTGAACCGCTCGGCGCCTGTGTTCGCTTGTCACTCACCATTGCTCACACTCGGCCTCGCACTCTCAACCTCAGTCTCTGTCTCTCCGTCTTTGTCCTCTACCACCGACATTCCTGACGCTTCTCTCTCCCCTCGAATAGTGTGCAAGTGTTTTCGCCTTTCCTTATAATCCCAGGACCTGGAATTCAAGCGTCACGATGAACTACGTTCAGGTCAGTGGCGATGCGCTCTACAGCACCAACTCATCCTGACGCCGTTTACAGTTAGAGAAGCTCGGTGCGACGCAGATTTTTTGAGATCACCAGATGTACGCTGACGAAATGCAGGTGAGGGGACATACGCTACGGTTTACAAGGTGCGTTCAGCTCTCGCGCCACCTTCCAGATGTCCGATAGATGTGCATCGTAGGGCCGCTCTAGGACAACAAACGAGATTGTGGCTTTGAAGGAAATTCACCTCGATGCGGAAGAAGGCACGCCATCGACTGCCATCCGCGAGATCTCTCTCATGAAGGAGCTCAAGCACGTCAACATCGTCCGCCTCTACGATGTCATACACACCGAGACCAAGCTCGTTCTCATCTTCGAGTATTGCGAGCGCGACCTCAAGAAATACATGGATGCCCATGGCGATCGTGGTGCACTCGACCCCAATACTGTCCGGAGCTTCATGTACCAGCTCCTGAAGGGTACCGCTTTCTGCCACGAGAACCGTGTGCTTCACCGCGACTTGAAGCCTCAAAATTTGCTCATCAATCGCAAAGGAGAGCTGAAGCTAGGTGATTTTGGTCTTGCGCGGGCGTTCGGTGTTCCCGTCAATACATTCTCAAACGAGGCAAGCCATCGATATCCTCCCGTGTAGGAAGCGATGCTGATTCTCGCTGTAGGTTGTAACATTATGGTATCGAGCTCCAGACGTCCTCTTGGGTTCTCGCACGTATAGTACCTCCATCGATGTCTGGTCATGCGGGTGCATCTTCGCTGAGATGATCAGCGGTGTACCCCTGTTCCGTGGACGGGATAACCAAGATCAGCTCTTGCACATCATGCGTATAATTGGAACTCCCGACGACCGAGTAATTCGCAAGATCATTCAAGAGGCTGTAAGTCCATTCCTCGACTATTGTTGGTATGTCCTGACTAATGGTCTGTAGAAAGCCGACAATCAACAGCAGCCTAAGCAATATCCGCGTTACCCTAAAATCCCTTTCTCGCAGGTCCTTCCGAAAGCGTCGCCCCAAGCTATCGACCTTCTTGAACGCCTCCTCCAGTTTGATCCTGCGAAGCGCATTTCCGCCGCCGAAGCGCTCCAGCACCCGTATTTCACCTCCGGTCAGCTCCCCTACCCCATGCCGCCCGCGGGCACTATGGCGCCGCCGTCTTTCAATTTCGCGCACGCCCCGCAACATCCTCAGCAGCCGCAAGCGCAGCATGATCCGCAAGCACAGGCGCAGGCACACGCAGCGTATATGGCGCAACAGGGTATGCCCCCGCAAATGTATCCTGCGCAGGCCCAACAGACACAAGGCATGGCCATACCGCAGCAGCACCAGTTCATGTCTCAGTACCCTCAGCAGTACGCCGGTGGGCGGTAATCGGCGACGACGGACTGGATGGTGACCGAGCTAGTATTGGAGCGGACTGAGTCGCGATTTGAATTTCTCTCCTTCCTCTCGGAGCATTTATACTCTTTTCCTAGATCGCTTTCGCACTGTAACTCCCCTTGTAATCTGTATCCTTGTGGTCTCCTCATTCTCCATGAATCACAGCCGAAGCATGTACTAAGCTCACGCCTCATCATGCATCTAGGTGCAGTCTTCCTTGACAACTGTGGTTATTATCATTTTATTTACGAGTGCCGACCACCGCCTGAGCTCAGCAGTCATCAAGCTCAAGTTACTCGACATGACTGCGTGACTGTTGATCACTTCGGAACCCGGTTGTGACGAAGAGCTGTAGAAGAGCGGCCTAAGGTTTGCAGAATCCTGCTTGGTCAAACAAGCAAGGTTATAGCGTTCTTAACCGCATCAAGTTGCTTAGTGGCAAGTTAGCCATGCTCAGGTTGTGAACAGCAGGGTTGAGTACTCGTCTGTTTGCGGAGGGAGATAGCTTATGGGTTCTCAAATGGTCGAGCAAGGAGCGATCTATTATTTGAATTTATTGGCGCTACAAGCTGTAGAGCGCCCAGAAACGCCCAAGAGACGACATAAGTGTAGGCAAACTTAGCCTCCTGCAAACGTGGCGTGGGAAACTGGCATGTCTCTACAAATTTTAAAGGCTGCTGGAACAATCACTAATCCTGTTTGCCATCTCCAATCGAGCATATAAGTTAAGTATCGAAGCTTACGCGAGCAGCTGACAAAAGTCCCGTATTTCGCAAGAGTGATAGTAGTCCATACGAAGCGACAACTGAGAATACTGATGTTATCGAAGACGCTTGAAGTTCATGCGAGCCCGAAAACGAATGCCACTCCTTCAAAGCTTTGTATCTCTGATGCTACCTGGAAGGCTCTCTCTGCCACGTTCTGAAAGATCATCGTATGCTGGAGGCATGTCCGATGATCCCGATGGCGTACGGAAGAATCGTCTGAACCTCGCCGCCTGAGCCTGGTGTTCCAAGACGGGTCGATCGGGAAAAGGTCTCCTTCCAAGGCTCGATTGGCTTTCAGTGTTTGATGCCTGTTCAGGCTGTACAACTGCGGTCTGCATCGGAGGGGCTGCCAGATCGCGCGGGGCATTCTCGTGCGATGCCGCAGAAGACTGCTCGGGCGAAGACTGCTCGGGCACAGTTGAGAGGGCTGCTGTCTCATCAGCCGAGTCGTAAGGCTCTGGCGTACGGGTTGCATAAGGGTGCCTTGCCCGTTTGCCGGATTCTGACTGCGCCGCGTAGCCGAGAGTACTGCTGGCCCCTGTGTCGCTTTGGCTCGGTAGTGCGGGGTGGTCCGCGGTAGTGTGCATGGGTACGCTGGAGCCAAAGCTGGAGCGCGAGTATGCCGAAGCTGAGTACGCAGAGCTGGCTGCCGTCACAGCAGAACTGATAGTGAGGCCTCTCGATCTGCCCACAGTGTCAGCCGCCTTTCCTGAGCGTACAGGCTGATCGTTGCGAGAGACGTTTGATGGGGAATCATGACCATGGTTCGAGTGCCCATGGTTCGAGCCGGCTCCCACATCACCCTTCGGCGCCCAAGCGTCACTGGTCCACCCGCTTGTCGTGGGGTCTTCGCCAATCCCGCGGGTCGCTGGTGCATAGTATTCATACTGAGCTCGGCGTCGCCACCACACGGCTAGAGCCACGATTCCGAACAGTACACCGCCGGGAATCACAGAGGCAAGGATGATAGTTCGTGTCCTGCCTAACGTTGAGGAATGCGAAGATGTGCCAGCAGCCGCTATAGCCGGGGAGTTGGAGATGGATAAGGGCGGCGTAATGACAACGCTTGGTTGGTCTCGCGTGGAAGTGCTACTCAGCGATCTTCCTAGTGTCGAATACCTAGACGATGTAGCAGATGAAATGCCTAGTCCAGATGATGACGTCAGGTGGGAAAGATCACTGGCGGTCGCGGACGTAGCCGAGGTAGGTCCGATATTGGAGGTAGAAAGGATAGATGATTGTGTGGTCTGAGGCGCGGTAACAGACAGAGGCGGCGTGGGGCTGGAAGCCAGGGTTGTCGTAGATGATAACGGTGTCGGAAGTGTATTATCATCATGTCTATTATGCAATTGAGTCAAAGTCGAAAGAGGCGAATAGAACTGTGGCCTACGTGTATGCGATATAGTCCAGAAGAACCAGACTCTTCGCACCGCCCGGGCGGCCATTCTGAAGCACAAAGGTGTGGGAACCCGGTGGGATCGAGCTGTTCGCGTAGACCAAGATGTTATAATCGTAATCTGCTTGCCCTGTGGGAGGCAGCTCGAACGATCCCATAGTCTGCCCGTCGATAAAGAATGTCATGTCCGAGTTCCCATCAGGAGACGTAGCTGTATGTGCGACGGTACAGTATACGTAAATCCCGCTCCCTGCGATGAAAAACGGGGATCATCGGCAAAGCTAACTTTCGTCGCGGGTTATTGAAAGAGAGCTCACCCTCGAACTGCAAAGTAGCAAGAGGTAGGCCGTCAGCTCCGGCCCCTTGTTCGTGAGTAGAATCGTGCCAGGTGCCATCCAAAGTACGGGTCGAGTCCGGATGTGCAGTACATCCGCTACAGTCCGTCCCCACATTCCAGAGCTCTGTAGGGGTGTACTGAATGATTGTCGATCCATCTTCAGTTTGAGAATCATCTACGGTGATATTGACCAATGCTCCTGAGACGACAGAATGAAGAGTTAAGGAGAGGATTGTAAGAAAGAGTGGTCTTAGTTGGGTCGGGAACATGGCGGTGCGACGTCCGGTGGAACCTCCTGCACGGCAAATTTAGCAGAAATGGTCGGGAAAAAAGAGAGCGAGAAAGAGAGGGGAAGGAAGGGAGAGAGCCTAGCCACTTCCTGGAAACAGATGGGCAGACTGAACTCACATAAACACGCATCGGGGGTGCATCAGGAGGCGATGGCCCGACGTGCGAGCATGATGTGCAGCTGTCATGACAGGATGTCGGTCGCTGGGCAACGATGATAAGTCGAGAAGCCAAGACATTAAAGTGACAGTCACTCCGCAAGCGGTTGCCTTGCGGTTGGCATGATTCTGTACGGTCAACAAGGGCTGCCTGAATAGAAGCTATCACCTCCTTGAAGGAGGGCTCGCAGATACCATGTGACATACCAAAGGTTCAGTCTAGTGCCGTGCTTTGTTCGCCACCGAGCATTACACTCGACGCTAATGGAGATGTACGTATCAATGCATCAGGAAGAAGATGGACGTGTGTTGATCGAATAGATTCGCTATAACATTAGCTTCAGCGTTTCAGAGTACGGACAGGCTATCAAGGTAGGGAATGAGATACTTGCGAGGGTGCTGTAGGGTATTATTGCCAGCGTTTATGTACTAGAGTCCAAGCCTTCGAGTGAACGCAGCGCAAGAGAGAAAGCAAAAATAAAACACTAGCCCACCGCGAGGGTCGAACTCGCAGCCTTCAGATCACGCGCTCGTGAGAACCCGCCACTCCTTTAAGAGTCTGACGCTCTATCCGATTGAGCTAGGCGGGCAGTAACAAATATCGGGATGTAGAGGTACTCTACACAAAACCGGGAACGACCGGCGGAGAGCAAATTTGAAGCAAACTTTATTTTCTAGTAGTCCACAAACGTTGGCTGAAGGCAGTAGCGACCGACGCCTATTCAAGTCTCCGGCAAGGTCTACCTCCACATCCACATCTACGCGCGGAACACTTACTGACGCCATCTTCTACTCCAGTCACACCGTAAAATACCGACAAATGACTCACGACGCGGTTTGGTTCTCTCGTCCCCGCAAATACGGCAAGGGCTCCCGTCAGTGGTGAATATCACTCATTCGGTCTGAGTAGAGAAGAAAGTGCTAATTCATATGCGACCTTCTAGCCGTCACTGTGCCCACCAGGCTGGTCTCATTCGCAAGTACGGTCTCGATCTCTGTCGCCAGTGCTTCCGCGAGAAGTCGGACGCTATTGGTTTCCGCAAGGTGCGTCAACTCACTCTTCAAAGCGCTAGTAGTTCTGACTAGAAATATGCGCTCAGACCCGGTAGCTTAATTATACCTCTCCTACATCCCCTCACGCCCTTGAGCTAGACCTCAGAATGCTTGCCCGTGGGTGGTCTTACGCATTGCAACACTTCACTAGGGATGTACCGCCATGTCACGCTGGTCTCGGAGTGTAAAAGATGCCATTTCATAACAAACATTATACTTCATCGAGGATGGCGGACACACCAAGGCGGCGTGCGGGAGTATCTCGAAGTAACGTAGCCTCACAAGCGGAAGAATCGCAGTACATATACGAGATGAGGAGGATTGGAACAGACCAAAAGGTGAAGTGAAATATGTCGTAAGTGAAAGGGCAAACGAGGCGCATGTACAGCGAGGAAGAAAATGCAAGAAAAGAACAACGCGATCGTGTCCGTGATAAATACCCACCAAGCACCATTCAACTTTCCGCGAGGAGAGCAAGGGTCTGGATGCAGCCTGGTGTGTCTAATGCCCCGTCTGTCCGCTGGAGAACGCCTCCCGGACGCTTCGGCGTAGTTCCTCATGATCCCGGCCCATGACACTCTCTGCACGGCTGTCGATGAGCGACCCCGCCTGCTTCTGCGAGGGTGGCGCACTTGGCGTCATCACATCGTCTGGTTCTCCGTCGCTGAACTCGAGGATCCGGCGAGCAAGCTGCTGGATCTCGCCCTGCCCCTCACCAGCCTCAGTATCTTGGTACGAGTGATGTGAGCCATGTGATCGCGGTGTGCCACCAATAGAGGATGCTGGCGTCGAAGTGCGAGTGGCAGCGAGCTGACGGATGTTGGGTATCAGGATATTGGAACCACGGATGTTGCTAATAAGCTGTGGATCTGTAGAATTGCAGTTAGCGGACAGTCGCAAATTGTATCTATTGAGACCGCTCACCCCCCGACTCGAGAAGTTGGACTATCGTCCAAACAGCAATGTGTTGAAAGGTAGCATCAGGACTCGTCAAGAAACGATACAAATATTTATGCATGCCGCCGTCCGGGCGGTCCCAAACGTCGTTAAATGCGGAATAATCATCAGAAGTCGTGCGGCCATCTAAGAAGAATGTTCGTCAACAGGTTGGGTAAGGTGTCGCCGACCGAACATGCTTACCCTTCGAAGACAGGTTACCCAGAGCAGCAGCACTGTTGCCCTGTACTTCGGAACTAGGCGAGTTCGTAAGAGGAATGAGCACTTCACAAATGCCCATCTCCAGAAGCTGCCCCTTGAGCTCATCTACGCAAATTTATGAGAGCAGTCCAGGCCACGGTATGGCGATGTGACTTACCGCTCAAGGCAAGAACAGCGATGCATGCAGTCATCTCCGACTGAACGTTCATCGGTACCTCAAGAACAAGATCTTTGATGCTTTGCACTGCACCCGCCTTCACAATCTCAAGCTTATTCTTCTCCGAGCTAGCAGCGAGGTTGCGAAGAGTCGAAATAGCGTGACACTGCACTTCCTCGTTGTCTTTGAACGAGAGCAAGTTGATAAGCGGTTGCAGGAAGCCAGACTCAATGATGGGGGACTCGTTTTGCGGGTGGATGGACACGTTGCGGACACAGGCAGCAGCGGATAGAATGAGGGGAAGATATGTAGACTGGAGGAGGCGAAGGAGGTGAGGAAGCCCGTCGCACTTGACAATCTCAAGTTGATACTTCTCTGATTATTCCTGGTGATCAGTCCCCGCATGGATAAAGTGGACGGATGTCTTACCATCGCTAGCGAGGTTACGAAGAGCAAGCGCCGCTTGACACTGTACTTTAAGACTCGGGCTCTCCATGAGCTGAACGAGGCTGGAGACCAACTTAGGCTCCGTTTGTGCAAGCTTCTTCCGGTTCGAGGCTGCAGGTAACGATTAGACACAAGGGGTAGAGCAGCTGCCGAGAAAAGCGCACCATCAACGGCAATGTTGCTCAGAGCAGTGGTGCAATAATATTGAACGTCGGTATCCTGAGAGTTTAAAAGACTAACGAGGACTGGAATGGCCCCGGCATTCACAAGCTGCTGCCTGTTCTCATCTGATATCGAGACGATCAGCTCGTGTTCGGGTTGTGGTCAGCAAATCAAACATGCCTGAGTGCGTCATATTCAACAGCGCGCCAGTCGCGTTCCGCTGCACTCGCATATCCTTCGAGCGCGCCAAGCGTGTCAGAGGGACCAAAGCGCCGGATTTGGCGATCTTCGTCTTGTTGTCGTCTACGTAGAAATGGACGAATGAGATAGGACGGCCATAACTCGCGTGTGCGTACCATGAGTAGCAAGATTTGTGACACAGCCTACAGCATTGCATTGAACTTCGACGTTAGGGCTAAGCATTTGTCGGATGAGAGGCTCAAGACCGCCCAACTTGACGATGAGCAGCTTGTTGTCGGCTGTTATCGTGAGTTAGAAAGACAGTCATGAATTTTATGGTATACGCACTGTTTACTGCCAAATTTCCCAAAGCCGCACTGGCAGCTCGCTGGACTTCAGTATCATGGCTGCCGAGGAGAAAGAGGATGGGGTCGAGTGTATCACGTCCGACAGGACGGACTTCCTTCTCCGTAATCTCGGCAAACGCAAGGGCAGCGCTACGCTGTAGGTCTACATTGTCAGAGAATGAAAGTGTGGTCAACGCGGAAAGTGGTGATCCCGAGAAGAAGTTGGTAGTTGTTCGGTCTGGGATTAACAGATCTTTATTGAGCGACGGACTGGCAAAGTACAGTGTAGCGTATGACTTACTTTCCAGGTACTGAAGCAGATCCGCAACTGCCTCCCGCTCGTTCTCGAGGAGCAAAGGCTCGTACGACTGTGATTTGCGAGAACGGACTGCCATGTTCGCGATCAGTTCTGCAGAGTAGAACTGTGGTAAAGCGAAAAAAAAACTGACAACATGATTCACAGCAGCTGGAGACGGCGCCCATCGCTACTTAATGACGTGTATACTGCGGCTACCAGCGGGAAAGGCGGGGAAGGCAAGGGCGGGAAGGCCAGGGAGGAGAAGTGCAGCGAGGAGTGTCTGGAGAAGGCAAGGCGTAGTTTTGGCGCTCTGCGCGCCTGCTGTAGTGTCTATCACGTGGTGTTTCTCATTGCCGCCCGACTTTGTGGCGGTCGTCCGTTGCTGTTGACTTTTCTGCGAATAAGCACATTCTCGTCCTCGCCGTCGTCGACTACACCGCCTGTACTGCGACTTGCGGTCATGGCTAACCGTTGCAGTACTCAAGACGCTGGAGAAGACTCCCCCCATACAATTCTGCACTGAGCTCTCTGCCCTAGTGCTGCGCGAGCCTCTGAGGCTATGCCGTACTGCGTGTGGCTCGGGCCTGTCTCTCATATCGCACATATAGCTGTTCTGTGATATTTGTGCAAGATTCTCTAGAAAAATGTCTTCCCCCAGTACAGGCAGCAGCGATTTGGGTACGGAACCAGAGATTCTCGACGTTCTTGAGGTCAATCCGCCAGATGACTTGCGCGGGACAGTAATATTTCTTCACGTATGTGGCGAAAATCGTTTATTTCTTGTTGGTGCTGATCAGTTTTTGGAAGGGTCTGGGCCAAAGCCCGCAGCATTGGAAACCCGCCATCCAGACCATGGCCAGAAGTCTCCCTGGTGTGAAATGGATATTACCACGAAGGTAGCCACCCCAAGTATCGCGCGTTTACTGCTTATCAATCATATCTCTTAGTCCTTCGATTCCAGTCACCATGAACGATAACGAAACCCGGCCAGCGTGGTTTGACATCGAAGAATTACCTCCGACGAATGAAAGCGGGTCAGAGAGCGTCTGTCGTCAAATGAATCGCGTTTTACGGAGCCTTGAACAGATCGTCCACAATGAGCTGCATGGACGCCCCCAGAGTCCTGAGGTAGTCGTGGCCGGCTTTAGTCAAGGTGGAGCGACAGCCGTGATGCTTGCCCTCACTAGTCTACAAGAACTCGGCGGCGTAGCTAGTCTGTCCGGATGGATCCCACACTGTAGCAGACAAGTACGTTAAAGGCCTTTCTTGTGACGTTTTGTGTGCCGCAGAGTTTTAATGCGCTGCCAAGGGCATGCGACAGATTGAACCCTGCTTGCCTGTCTTCTGGGGCCATGGCGCTGAGGATCGAGAGATACCGCTCGCCATAGGGCAGGAGTCTGTTCTGTTCCTGCAAGATGAGCTGGGATTTCCCGGTTCGAGGTGAGCAGCGACGTATCGTTGAATGGGGTTTAGAAGTAATCTCGCCATTTAGGATAACTTTCAAGTCGTATGAAGATTTGGAGCACGCTGTCTGTCCTCAAGAGATGCAGGATCTTACCGACTGGTTGAAAACTGTTCTTTGACGAAGACTCTTATCTATTTCTCTTCTGCTTTCCACGCCGACTGATGTTATCGATTCCTACAACGCTAACCTTTCGTGTTGAGTAGGATTAGCACGTTTTTATGTCGATTTGTGCATTCCTTGTCGTAGTAACTGCTGGGAAGTGCTGCAATGGTCTGTATCCCGACAATTTGTTTACAGCACGACCGTGTTGCGCGTCATATTCACTTCGGCGAGCAAAGCGAGCAAATAGCCTATTGACTAGGACGGTCCTGACTCCTGATTGGCCGCTGTGACTCGTTTTCCGCACCAGACCAGGCGTCTCGCGTGCTGCCTCCTCCGTATTCCTTCATGCTCCTGCTCAGGAAACTCTCCCTACGTCGCTTTCTATCTACCCGACTATCTGTTCGCTCGCAATCGACTAGGATAATGACCCGCGTGCAAATACCCGAGAAAATGGAGATACACCTCACAGACGCGGAGAACGAGATCTGCGCCTTGCTTGACGGCTGCACGAAATGGATGAAGGAACGGCATGGAGTCGAGACTTCGTGCAGGATTGCGGGAGGTTGGGTGCGCGACAAGGTCAATATCACTCCTTATAGTCTGTCCATCGCACTTTACCTTAGCACGCCTTCTTGCTGACTGACTGTGTGCACTCTCCCCTCGAGCAGCTGCTAGGTCTGCAGAGCAATGACATCGACATTGCCCTTGAGCAGATGATGGGGCTGCCCTTCGCAGAAGAATTTCAAGCCTACTGCGGATCAGTAATGAACATTCCCATAGAGAAAATCGCCAAAGTCGAGCGCAATCCTGATCGGTCGAAGCATCTTGAGACCGCAAAAGCCACGGTGCTCGACATCGAGCTTGACTTCGTAAACTTACGGAGCGAGGAGTATGCTGATGATAGCAGGATACCTACCCAAGTCGTAAGCGTACTCTGTAAGACTTACTAGTGTCTTTACGCTGACTGTGACGTTCAGGCTTTTGGCACGCCTCTACAGGACGCACTCCGGCGAGATATGACTATCAACGCGCTTTTCTACAACGTTCACTCGCGCGAAGTTGAAGATCACACACAGAAGGTGGGATATTGGAGTATTTCAAAGCATTAACACGTTCACAAGCGTCGTAGTAGGGCCTCAGCGACTTGAAGGATGGCATCATCAGGACGCCATTGTCTCCGAAGGAAACTTTCATGGACGACCCGCTTCGAGTAATACGCTGTGTACGCTTTGCCAGTCGTTTTGGGTTTGAATTAGTCCCAGAGTTGCAGGAGGCAGCGAGGGATGCGGAGATCCAGGTCCGTATTTGGTTCTTATGAACGAAGATGGCGAGACTAACTCTGGCTAGCACGCCTTGAGGGCGAAGATTAGCAGGGAACGCGTCGGCGAAGAGTTAGACAAGATGATGAAGGGTGAGTAAAGATGCGATCCTCGTTCTTCCCACCTAATTATCACGTACAGGCAGGAACCCACTGCATGCCATCGAGCTTATTAATGATCTTCGGCTGTACACCTCCATCTTCTACATTCCTCCACATGTCGCCCCCGAGCTCTCGGCACCTCTTGGCTCGCCGAAGCTTGGACTGGCGGCTGCGTACATCTTGGAGACCCTCACGCTCCCCGAGAAACAGCCCTCTACCAACCTTCCTGCGCTCCACCCCCTCCTTGCAGCTGCAGCAACATACGAGTCCTCGACTCGGCCGCGACTGTATCTCGCATGCGCGCTAACACCGTACCGCGGGCTGACGTATGATGATATCAAGAACAAGTGTCATCTCGCGGTTGAGGCTGCTATTCGCAACGGCACGAAACTTGGCGCTCAGAACCACTATCTGGACGGTATACCAGTGCTTTTTACCGCCGCCGAGATGCTCAAGAACCCGGTCATCGGTGGCGAAGATGAGCGCGTCAGGATAGGTGAGCCCTCTGCATTCTAGAACGGGCAGTGGTATGACCGTAGCGCGGCTTGCAGGCCTCCTCCTACGCAACAAGAACGTGCATAACACGCACACAGGATCCTACTGGGCGACATCGCTTCTGTTCTCTCTCGTGCAAGAGCTCACTTCCTTCTGGGACACCTCGTGCAAATCGCTCGACATAGCCTTCGCCGCATCGCGCATCGAGGCGTACAATACTTTTGTGCGTCGTATAGAAGAGCTTGGACTGCCCGCAATGGTGGACGCAAAGCCTCTACTGGGCGGGAATGAAGTCGTGCGCGTGCTCGATACCGGCCGGTCAGGGCCGTGGATGAACGGAGTGCTCGCACGTATCACTGAGTGGCAACTCAGACACCCGGAGGGTACCAAAGCGCAGTGTGAGGAATGGCTTCGGAGTGAGCACGCGGCAGGGCGAATATCTTTCGACGTCGCGCCCGTGAAGCGTGTTAACATTGATGGAGGGGAGAAGCAGGAGAAGAAACTCAGGAAATGAAGAGTGCCCCGGCGATGCAGATAATATACGTGTCAGACTTGTGCTCAGATCCCAGAGCTATATCTTTCACGCATGGACTGTTTACAGACAAGCTGAGAAGTAGTGATGATGTAGCATGGCCCCCTTCGATACATGTGCAAGCAACAGTAGATGGATATACGTGAGGACTGGCAAGACAAATAGAGGTGGTAAAAGCAGACTACAGGCGAAAAGCGGGAGAAAGGGTATGATATCCAAGCGAGAAATGATGAGGTTATCAAGGCTATCAAGGCCATCAAGGCACAAGAGTTATGTAGGTAAGACCCAAGCATGCTAACGGGGACAAGGACAGTAGGTCCATATCAGGAGATGTGACCGGGATCGACCCGCTCAAAATTTTCAAACCACTCCTCGAATCTGGGCTCGAGGCCATAGGAAGCATAGGTGAACGAGTCCGAATTGTACGACTTGGCGAGTAAGCCGAAGCCCTCGGGCGAGGTTGCCGGCTGCGGGTAGCTAAGTGCGCCGTACATGGTCCCAGAGCTGCCAAAGCTGCCGCTGGAGGATAGTGGCGACGCACCCTCTGGCAAGCGGATGGAAGAGTGGACGCGCAGTTGCGGAGACGGCTGGCTGCATGGCGCACAGAGGGGTGAGGAGGGCTGTGCTTTGATCTGGAAAGGCGAGAGCTTCTCCACAAGGTCGCATGACGAGGAGAACTGCCAGGAGGGGAGCGATGGTGAGGGGAAGTGGCTAGGTGATGGTGAGAACTGATACAGCAGCGAGGACTGCAGGTGAAGAGGGGATGATATGCTGCCAAGAGGCGAAAACTGCGGGAGAGGAGACACGACTGGGCCTGGGGCGCACCCAGTAAAGACAGAGCCGTCAAATCTTGAGTCGTAGTCAATTTGGGCAGCACCGAACGGCATTCCGAGTGTGTTGGTACCCTCTGCTTGCAGTGTCTAAATTGTGGCCATGAGTAGCTAATTCAGCTGTGTGAAGATATATGGCATACCTCCGTATAGCTCGGCTGAGCCCAAAGTATATACGGTTCATCTTCCGCTGATTGCGCGCCAGCCTCGCTGATAGTTGAACACGACTGAACGAGCTGGGGCATGGCGAGCTCGGGCTGGAACGTCTTAGGACAGCCAGAGAACTCGAGACCGAGGGCGGACGGCGAGGAGACAGTGATCGAGGGAATACGCGTGGGAGCCCTTTGAGGCTGTTGACGAGTGCGAGTGGAGGCGACAGGTTGTTGATGAGCAGGCCTGGCAAGCATCTTGCAAGTACGTGCAGCCCGAGCCTGATAATCGAATAGACCGGCGACAACATCTCGCTCGTCAGCCCCCTCACGTTCGATGGCGTATACCGCCTGACTCAGCCTGGCCTGCTTGAAGCCCTTGGAGATGAGACGGCTGATGAGACTGGCCCTGGCACGCTCCCGCTCGGCGTCCTGCTTGCTCTTGCGCCTCTTGACCTTTCTCTTGCCCGTTGGTGTGTACCTATAACCAGGGTACATACGCGCATGTTCAGCCTTGGCCTCCCTAGCCTTGCGCTTGTATCCCTCCTTCGTCTCCTCATCCAATGCCTTCCAGCGCATACCGGCAATACGACTGATCTGGCGATGATCCTTTTCAGGTCCATCGCCAAAGTCGTACTTCCACATCTCGGAGCGGAAGATGATGAAGGCGTTCGAGGGACGCGGAATGTGTCCCTCTTTCTTCCTGCGCCCATGCGAGGACGTCGATGTGAACGGCAGTGCGAAGTCCGAGTCGTCACTGTGCGGAGAAGAAGGGGTCGAGAACTCTGGGGTCGAGATCGAAGGCGAGGAGGTCGCGGTAGTGCATGTCAACTCTGGTGTCTGAGTCGACGCGGCATCGACAACTTTTCCGGCAAAGATTGAGCCTCGCCCTTCCTCGTCATTGAATGTCAAGAATTCTGTGACCGAATCAAGCAGGTGAGCAAAGCCGCGGAGGTGGACCCACAGAGGCAAATACGGCGGTAAACATACGAACCTGGATCGGCGGGCGGGCGGTTCGAGAGACGTCGCGAGCGACGGGTATTACGCGCAACCGGCATTGCACAGGCAGGCAAGAAGCGGGTGTATAAGTGAGTAGAGCTGTCTGTGAGGAACGAAGGAGGGCTCTAAGGGATGGTGTTCCTGGGACCCGCCCTCGAGCCCTCCTTATATCATGCTCATGAAAAAGGTTTTCGACAGTTGACATCGACGAGAGAAGCCAGGGCATAACACTCCCTGGTGAGCGCCACATGTTCGGACATGAGGCGGTTTCCAACAGTTCATCAGTCCGGAGGGCGACCTTGATAAGGCCATTCCCCCGCCGAAATGTCTTGTTCTGGCAATGCCCTCCGTCCGCTAGCAACATTGAGCAGGTAAGCGGTCTCCAGAGCTACGCAGCTCAAGTCTAGGAACGAGATCTCAGGCCCGTGAGGACAAAGGCATAGCCACTTTGGCAGTTTGTTGTTTTCGCATTTATGCGATGTAGTGGAACTAGGTGCTGATGCTCGTCCAAGGAATGTAAACACCGACCCCACCGGCCAGGGCCCCCTGGTACCTGGAGGCCTCCGACCGGGTATCCAGTTCTTTATGCAGACGACTCAGTACGTGACGGCCATTCTCGTTACATGAATAACAGCGCGTCGAGAGTAGACCCTGAGCAAATCACATCTGGTCGAATCTGACACGAGGTGGTCACAACGAGGGTTACTCTCCCATTGGACTGGCGGCGTATGTCAACGACAGACCCTGAGCAAATCACATCTGGTTGAATCTGACACGAAGTGGTCATAATGAGGGGTTACTCTCCCATCCCGCGTCCGAGAATTTGGTAACAAGTCCTCGCGGTGCAACTTTTGTTTCGCCATGAATCATACCCGCCCTTCTAGCCACTGACTTATTAATGGGATGTCGCCAGCCAAATGCTTTGCACTGCCCGGTCTGGAGTCGCTTCTCATATGTCCGCGTCTCTGCAAACTGTCTTTCCTCGTACACGCCCCCGCTCACCACTGCTTCCTTGCATCCGACTAGTGTTGACTCCTAGTTTTTATCTTACCGTTGGTAAATTACGACAGGGAGTCTGATACCCCTCTGCAGAGGCATAGGTCGAGAAACTCTGTAGCCTGAGTGAGATTTTCGAAGTCCGTCAGCAGACTGTTGTATAGGTTTATCACTTGCTTGATCAACGTCCTGGAATCGAGACCATCCATTCAGTGTGTGCCGTCCACACGCACCACTTATTCCTATAACAAGAGCTGTCCCAGCATTCGACCGGTGTACAGTGCCTGCCCGTCCCATTATGGACAATAGCCCGCAACTTTCTCAGGTTCATGTTGAGCGCCCCCGCAGACAAGAACAAATAGTACCCAAACATCTCAGCTCGCTTTTCGTGCTGACTTAACCTGTGTACGTCGCTCCGGAACGCTCGTCTCATGAACAATGCAGTCTCAGTTGGGGTAGCGATTGTTACTCGCAAGGTAGTTCCTGACGCATACACGCTGACCCTAAGGACATAAATCGATGCTCCCGGCCCTACTCTGCATTCTCAGCGGCTTCCGAAGGCTTCCCGTCGCCGCGTTGTGGATGGGCTATCTGTATCACGCGCTCCTTCCGCCTCTTCGACGCTTTGACCATCTCCCTACGGGTTGGGCGATGCATGTCAGCTCGACGTGTTTCCGGATATGACGGACCGGGCTGGCAGCGCCCGGAGTCTAGACGGTGCAGCACGCACCTCTTCTTGATTGCCTCTTGCCTGCCGATTCGGCGAGCAGAGTTGACCGCATCTGCGCGCTTTACCTTGCCCATCTCGCGCCGCTTCATTTTGGACGGCTTGGGCAGCTTGAGGATCCATTCCGGCACAGTCGACCCAGATTGGAGGATAACGTTCGCGATGCTGCATATCAGATTAAAGTGGAGTTGAGAAACGGTTCCAAAGCCACGGCTACGATGTGCGGAGAGGAAAAACACTCACGTCTTCAAGAAGGGAGCGTCTTCATCTGTGAAGTAAGTAACGGCCTTGCCCTCTCTGCCGGCACGTCCCGTACGACCTACACGCGTCTGTTAGCCACGCCACTGTAGTATCACGCTCGTGCAACGCACCGATGCGGTGGACATAGCTCTGCACACTTTGGGGGAAGTCGTAGTTGATGACCTCGCGCACGCCTTTGAAGTCCATACCACGTGCCATAACCTCTGTAGTCACCATCACCCAGCTTTCACCCTTGCGCATGCGCGACACAGCATCCTCTCGCTCCTTCTTGCTCATGCCCGCATGGAGACAGTCGACATTTTGAATGTCGTTTAGCACAAGCTCTTCGGCGAGTGATGATGCGCGCGGTTGCGTCGATACGAACACCAGAACAGGTGGGTTGTAGGGTTGTGCAAGGTACTGCAGCAATGTAGGCAGCTTCGAGGAGTCGTCATGTACGTAAGTCAGCGATTGGGCAATTAACGGCAGCGGTGTGTCTCTGAATGACATTCAGTCGTAGTAGGCACGACACGGAATCGATCTACGCACTTTAGACCGACAACGACTCGTATAGGATTGGTCATCATGTCCATAGCTATCCTTTCCGCGTTCGCAGGAAGCGTCGCGCTGAATACAGCCTTCTGTACTCGGGGATAGCTACATGCGGCTATGATCTCTCGTATTTGTTCCAAGAATTCAGGATCCAGCATACGATCAGCTTCATCCAGAACTAGATGACGCACGCTTCCAGTAAAATGGTTGTCAGAGCAAGTCATGAACGCGAGCTTACCACTGTAACTCACTTGCTCAGCTTAAGGTTGCCTGACTGCAGGGCGGCGACCATCCGTAATGGCGTACTGATTACAATATCTAGCACGCGACTTAGCCTCTCATCTTCCATTATCCTTCATCCTTTGACTCACCCACTTTATCTTGTGCGTTCTTGTCCGCAAGTGTAGCCGCTGTCGCCTTGCTGAACAGGACAATCCGCCACTTGCGTCCTTGAGCTAATTTAAGGCATTCGTTATGTATTTGGTGGGCCAATTCACGAGTTGGCGCAAGAACCAGAGCGCGGACGCCCTGTCCATGCTCGGAGTCTGAGCTAGAGCTGGGTGCACCAAGGGATGCAAAGACGGGAAGGAGGTACGAAAGCGTTTTGCCCGTCCCTGTGGGCGATATTGCAGCAAGGTCTCGGTGCTGTACGAGATGCATTGTAAGTACTGCAACACCGCTTTCCTTTCAGCTCACCTCCAGGAGGATAGGCACGCCATGCGCCTGAATACCCGTGGGCTGTCCGTATCCGCTTGCCTCCAAATTCTGCAGCAGCTTTCCCGGGATGTTATATCTCTCCATCAGTTCCTCAAAGCTTTCCACCGCTGCAGGCACGCTGTTCCCCTTCGCAGTCACCCGTTGTCGCGACATAGAGCTCGACGGTTCGCCGTCCTCTGCCGCCTTGATATCCTCGGTGCCCTCGTCAGCTTCCATGTCCTCTTCCAAGCGTGCTTTCTTGATCGTTGTCTGCGGGTCTGACTCTGTCTTTCGCTTCGTCGATCCGCCCTGAGCGTATTTGAAGAAGTCTAGCTCCCTGGGGAGCTCGCCGTCCGTGGCGGGCTTTGCTATGCCCTTGCCCTTGTCCTGATTTTTGGATTTCTAGACGAGGTGTGAACGCTTAAGCTGTGACACAAGAAGGACGACGATGCGCGGTGGCACATACGTCGAACAGTTGCACATCCTTCTTGAATCGCTTCTTGTCGAATAGGGCACCTCCACGCGAGAGTAGATGAAACGCTTCCATTACGGCTAGAGGCTCAAGCAGTTACAGAAGATGACTATACGAAGGTAGCAGCCAAGGACTCGGTGAAAGGAGATATTAAATTCTCCAGCGGGGGTAGATTCAGCAGGTACAGGGGAGAAAAGTTATGGGCGCCAATGAGCAGAGCGATCATACAGGCGCTAATCAAACACTTCAAAGCCTTAGTGCAAGTGACGTCCCCTATAAGCCCATTACTAATGGACTCAAATCAGTGCAAGGTATGCCATAGCATCTACGGATCGCGGTTATTCCTTGGTAGTAGGACTCGCTAACGCAAGGTTCCACTTCGCTGCCTCCTCGACCTCCAAGCTAATGCGCGTGCTAGGCCTAGCGCTACTCCATGTTCACCTCGTAGTGAATCTTGTGATGCAGAATGGGACTGTCTTTCCCGCGCTCTGAGCTGAAAGTTAGTCAGTTTCCGGGTCTGACTGTGAGTATGGCGCACTCCAGAATCCAGAGACGTCGGGGTGGTGCGGCAGCTCTCTGGCCTCCTCGAGCACTGTGGTGGACATTTACTAATCCGCGAGCTAGTACCCTTGCTGTGAGCAAAGAGCTCTTACCTACAGGCATGGCCGTCGTCATAGGAGCGAGGAGAAGTAGGGGGACTATGGCGGACGCTGAAACTTGCATATTGTATGTATGGCGGAGCCTCAGAAGATGGATTTGAACCGCATCGCTACTGACCAGTTTGAACTTATACCTGTGATGTCCCAAGAGAAGGCTTCCGTACGATAAGGGATAAATAGATATACCCTACGATCAAGGCAAGCAGATTACTGTAAACGAATTATTCGGGAACTTCTACCCCGATGATGATGGTCATGGGACACTTGTCCAGTAGCTGCTTCGAAACTTCGAGTTGCAGGCTCGGTCCGTGTGAGGACGAATGAAGCCTGAGGCCCTGCCGTCGCGGCGAAGAACCCAACACTTAGTCTGGTCAGCTGAACTCTTGTTTCTCTGCCATGTCGAACAGATCCACTGATTGTGAGTACGTAAAATTGTTGCCAGAGCAGATGGTCGCGGCTTAAGTACTGAGGTGCTCGTCACCGCTCTTGCTCAGTGCTATGTCCTCGCGCATTTTCTTTTACAGTGCAAAATGAGGTGGTATTACTACTTACTACGGGGTATGGGTATGTTCTAGGTCAGAGCCAAATAAAATCGCACAATCATATCTGCCAAGAGTTAGCTACCCCAGGCTACAGTGGTCCCCGCCCGAACCCAATAAAGAAGGAGGAACAGCTACAATTACGCATGCCGACGCGAGCTAAACTTGAGCTTGCAACCGTCCTGTGGGAAGAGCGTCGCGATGATCTGGACCTTGTCGCTCAACGGGGTGAGCTCATGCTCCCAATTCAAGAGCACGGCCGCGTCCCCAAGCACCAGGGCAGTGTTCATTATCGCGTATTCGATCCCGATGCACTTGTGCGGACCGCTGCCAAAGACGAGATAGTTTCGCGGATTCGTATTCGCGCTGCTGTCCGGGTCGAGCCAGCGCTCGGGCAAAAACTTTTCCGGCTCCGGGAACACTCCTGGGTCGTGCAGCGAGTTGTAGAATGAGGGGATGACCATGCTACCAGATGGGACAGTGTAGTCCTCAGAGATAGGGAACGCCTTCTTCACCTTGTATGGGACCATCGTCACTGGCGGTTTAACGCGAAGGGTCTCCTTGACCATCGCGCGCAGGTACAGCATCTCATCCATCATCTCCAGGGTAACGGGCTTCTCGTAGTCGCCACCACGGACGCGTTCCTGCTCCTCGCGAACCTTGGCAAGAACTTCGGGATGATCCGCAAGATGCTGGAAGCCGTAAATGAGACCGCTCGACATGGCGTCCTGGCTGGCGAAGAGGAAGGAGAAGACGACCATAGCCATCTCGAAGTCGCTGAACTCGCGACGGCCCTTGTATGCGGGATCGCTTAGGATCGTGACCCACTCTTCCAGCATGCACTCGGGTGGATTGCCAGCAGCGACGCTCTCTTTTGACTTGCGCGCAGCAAATTCGAGCCACTTCATCGCGACTTTACGCGCCTGGATCGCATTGTAGACCTTGGTACCGGGAAGAGCGAGTGGGAAGTTAACAAGCTCGAGCGCTGTAGTGATCTGCCAGTACTTTTCCGAGATCTCTTTGGCCGCATGCTCGGGAATGTGATTTCCGCAGAAAACACGAAGCGACGTGTCCATGTTGAGGTTGCGCATAGTCATCATGACGGGCTTGGCAGACGGGTCCTTCGCCGCTTCAGCAAGCCATTTAGCGAAATGTGTGCGGGTTATCACGTCTTGAATACTGAGATAGAGGCTGAATCATGGCGTGAGTACTGGTGTAATGTGCATGCCGCTGGGAGACATACCCGAGGGCCTTGCGAGTGAAGAGCAGGTTGAGACCGCGACGGTACTCGACATGCTCCTTGCCACTGAGGAAGACCCTAAGTATCCCAGTTAGCGTTCGCACAGCGGGAAAACACATCAGACAAACAAACCAGTTTTCTGCTAGCATGACCTGCTTGGCTGAGTGGACCAGACAAGGTTCAGCATAGGTAGGAGAGTTCAAAATCTTTCTGGAGAATTCGTTTGCTGACGCCATCACGATGAAACTAGGCGGCGCGTTGAACAAGTCAGCGCGAGCTCACGAATACGGATAAACAGAACATACATGTTGAAGACGCTAATTGCACTCAGGGCACCGGAATCCCATTGTTTCATGTAGCCCTCCATGGTGGGCTTCATCGAATCCGCAAACTTGCCAATGATCGGGATAGTCCATTTGTCGCCTGGAAGGTGACGTTTCTTGTAGCGGTAGACAGACTGCTCAAGGATGAGAAGCGAGAGCACGATGGTAGCAGTGGTGTAGAGCCAGCTACCCGAGGGCAGGATGCCGATAAAGGCGGGACTGTCGACCGAAACGCGCGACGAGCCAGAGAAGATGGACGGGAAGGCAGCCTGGGAGGACGCCATGACCGAGGACCGTTGTAAGTGTGCTCGTTGTCTCGCACGGAAAGCGAGAGCGGAGGACGATGAGAGCACGACCCAAGGAAAGAGGAGGAGAAAAAGCTGGATGAGAAAAAGCTGAGAGTCTGAAGACTAAAGAGACAACGTCCGGCAGGGAAAATATAGCGGGTGGGTCGATTCCGTATCATCTGACAAATAATTGATTACGCTATGGGTCCGCGACCAATTTCTGATCCGGCGCTTCTTCCTATTTCGAACTGGGCACTGTGAGTATTTAGTGACGACAACGGCGATAATAAGTGGGTGAAAAATATTGTGTATGCTATGGGATGACAGGAGGATTGATTGACAGACGATAGTGCCCGAATGGCTTCAGACTGGTTGGTCGATACTCCTGATCTACTTTCGTAGCTCTTTCTGCACGTCCGCTTTGAAATCCTCCTTGCCCTCCCGGGCACCGGCAGCAGTCTATCCAGGTCGTCAGCCAGGCGTGTCGGGACCACAAGCCTGGGCATGACTCACTTGATTTGCTTTGTGCTTCGCGACATTCGCCGTCTCCTCCGTCTCTTGGGCAGTCCTCGCGGCGGTCTGTTTAGTCTGTGCAGATGCCGTACCTGCACCATGCCTCGGTCAGAGACAGTGTAACGTACGATGGTGACCACTCAGGCTTACCCAGGGTTTCCTTGGTCTTCTCGGTCACGTCCTCGCCCTTCTCAATGGTAGAGGCAAGTCCACGGCCGGCTTGCTTGTTGACTTTGTCTGCCGCCTCCTTAACGCTTCCGGCACCTATGCCGCAGTTAGCTCGTATGAGGCAGACCGCGATTGTTAGCACTGCTTACCGATCGTCTCCTTGGTTGCCTCTGTTACTTGCTCGCCCGTCTCGATCGCACCGGCTAGCTTCTTGCCGACCTTGATGTTGACCTGAGCCGCTTTGTCAGCCCTACAAATAGTTGTCCCACGTAAACGCCACGCACATCATGTGCAACCTTCTTGGCCTTGTCTGTCACCGACTCTGCGGCGAACGGCGTTGTGTGGAACGTCCTGAAGGACGAGGCGAGAGTTGCACGCGAAGAAGATGCAAGTGCAGCACGGAACATGGTGTATAAAGGATGAAAGAAAAAGAGGGGTGGTGCGGTGTTGCTCGTTGAGATGCGGGTGTCTTGCTTACCGGCCGTATATAGGGAGGTGGTCGTGTGTATGACGTCCGTAAGTGGAGCAACCTTGGATCAGCGCATGGAATGATTTACACCACCGTGCATGCTTCCTAGTTGAGTCACTGGCGCATCATGCGTAGTGTATTGCTTGTAACTTGTTCAGTGCCAGAACATATGCTTTGTTTGACAAAGGAGCTGACTAGATTCCAAGCAGCCAGCACAAACTGCTGTTGTTTACTATACGTACCTGCTAACCCAAAATTTGCACATGGCACTATAGTGTAGTGGTTATCACTCAGGATTTTGACATTGCGTATTTTCCTGAAACCCAGGTTCGAACCCTGGTAGCGCCTTGTTCCTTATTTTGATTTTGTATCGAGAAAAAGTCTTTTACATCATGGAAGACTGAAGTGGACTTAGTAGAGCATTAGAGCTAGCCGGCTGACAGTGACTCACTGGCGGTTCGGTGTGCGCTTGCATGTTCTGGAAGCTAAGCTAGTGGCAAATTTCCCACGCCACACCAGTTGCCTAGCGATCTTGATTTCTGGAACTCCGAAGCTTTCAATGAGGGATGAATTCGCCAACTTTATATTATACACCGTTGTCATCACCACAAAAAGTGTAACGAATTTTGCCATTACAATGTAGCTTTCAGTAGCTATCTCTCATCGATCATCTCCCATCTGGCATGTAGAAATACTAACATCCCAGAGAAGACCGGCCCCCGCAGCGTGACTTGTCGTACCAGGGAGGTGTATGCATGCGGCGTCGCAATGATATTATGATTACAACAGTGTGAGTTGACTAGTAGCGGCATAAAGGTATCATTAAATGTACTTGAGCACGAACACGCCAGCGATTGTCCACCACTGTACTGCCCGCCGTTCACGTACGGCCAGCCTTCTTTTTCTTATTGACAACCTTGAAACCACCCCACTCGTTCTGCGTGGGCTTCGGCTGTGTCTTGACAACGTCCGCTATCGAGAGTGGCTTGCCGACGGACGCAGACGTCGCAAGTCCCTTCGCATCTGTCTTGCGCTTGCTCACGAACTCGGACGCAAAGCGCCGGCCGTCGAGCGTCGTGCTATTGGCGTAAATGAGGTCCGAGATGATCTCAACAGTGGAGGGATCGGGGTCGAGGGGGAAGGAAAGAAGCATGGACGCAATTTCTTCCACTGCATGACGGTTAGTAACAAAACCTAAGTGTAGAGGATCGGAGACATACAGTTGACAGAACTGTTTAGGCCTTTCAACGAATCAGTCATCCATTTCATGAACTCGAGCGAAGGAGCTGCAGGAGGCTCGTCCTTTGGTGCAGCAGGCGCAAGCTTGACAGACGTGGTGATGACAGGCGACCTCGCAGACGCGGGCGTGCTAGCGTTACGTGCTAGCACGGAGGCAGCCGAAACGGCGGAAGTTGGGGCTACACTGGGGACCGTCTTCGTAGATGTGATAGTGGTGACCGTCGGGCGCGCCGGGGGAGTCGCCGTGGCCAAGTTGAGTTTACCACCTGCTCCTACAGTCGTCCATGCACCACCAGTTTGAACCGGGGTGGAAGCCTTAGTGGTCGTCTCTGCGTAAGCCCGCCGAGCGGCAGCGGCGACAGTCTCTTTCTCCTTGCTCGCCAGTTTCTTGCGGCGCTCCTCCTCCTCCTGGATCTCTTTCATTGTCTTCTTGACGGCAGGAACCTTCGCTGCGTTGGTCCATACAGGTGCGTTAGGAGTGGAGGGAGAGGTAGAAGCCTGCGGTGCGATCGGCTCCTTAGCTGTGGCTGTGGTACGAGAGCTGACCTGAGAGGTGGGTAGACCCCAGGAGAGTGTCTGGACATCCTCAGTTAAGATGGGCGAAGCTGCTACACGAGCTGCACGTTCGCGCTCGCGTTCAGCAGCCTTGCGCACCTCAAGCTTCTTGGCCTCCATCTCTTGGATTTCACGAAGACCAAGGGTGGGGGCGGCTTTCTTCTTGTCATCGTCAACAGTACCCCAGACAGGTTTGGATTGCTCAGTAGACTGAGCAGGAGGAGGCGTCGGGGATTTTACCACAGGAGCCGCAGCAGACGTGGGAGCAGCGGGCTTGATTACCGCAGATTGAGGTGCAGACGCGGCCGCGACTTGATCGCTGACCTTACGGCGCTGCTTCTTCTGAGAAGAGGGCTCAGGCGTTGGTGCAGTGGCAGACTCAGCTTCCGGCTGCGTAACAGCCTCGGGAGCAGCCTGCTCCTCAGCGACTGGACTCTCAGAGACGGAAACAGGCAGCTGCTGTGTCTCTTGTTGACGAGCTTCTTCCTCCTGCTGCCTGTTGTGTTGGCCCAAATTTGCGGCAGTGAGGCTGTCCGATGTCCAACCTTCTGTAACAACACCTTGGCTAGCGACAACCCAGGGTGATTGATCATTCACCACCGGGTTTGCTTGAGCGGGAACATGTGAAGCGTGAGATTGTGAAGGAGTGACAGTGCGCTGCGAAGGAACGGCAGTGCGTGCAGTGAATTCGGAGTCGAACGGGCCCGGACGACGGACAGTTGCATCTTGTGGAGGCCATGGAGAAGAAACTAGAGCGCCCATGAACGGCTGCTGGAACGTGTGCTGGGTCAGGGGAGTTGTCGGTTGACGATCAGGTATGCCTGAGAAGCCGTGTGCTGAAGAAGTATAAGGCACCTGTATCTGACCAAACGGCTGACCATTGACGGGATAATGTATGCTGCCGTTGGCGAATCCGCTGGCATTGTGAGTAGCGTCGAACGACTCGCGAACGAATAGTCTTGGACCTTCGCGATAGGGAGAGCCGGCAAAATCGTTGTGGCTATGAGTGGACTGGCCGTTATTCATCATCGGACTGCCCTGTGAGGCGCGAGCAGCGTGGAACCCGGTCTTTTGGCCGAAGGAGTTTTCGTGTCCTTGGACGGGACTAAACGGAACTGCAGAATCGGATCCTTGATTGCCCGTAGCTGATATTTATGAGCGGCATGCGCGATGATACATGGCCGTTTGACTTACGATGGAAACCTAGACCATCTATAGAGCCAGTTCGCGCCGGCGTGTAATTCGCAAACGGTGCCCTTGAGCTCATATTATTATTGTCCACACTCTCCTCAAACGTAGCACGACGTTGCGGTTCCACAGGAGTGCCGACCAGACCGGTGAGCCGAGGACCAACTGGTGAATCCGTATAATGATGACCGGCGAGCCTGTTACCGAAAGCAGAGGGGTCTGGTGAGCTGTTGCTGAAGCGTCCAGCACTGAAAGATGAAGAGGGAGAATCCGGAGCAAGAGAGCCATTGTGCAAATAAGGATCCATAGCTGTAGTACGCAAGCGAGCAGGCACAGGTTGGAAGGGCGGACTAAATGTGCCATCAGGTGCAGGACCATCCAAGAGCGGGTCACGGCGAGGCAAGCCGGGAGGAACGTTCGCAAGGGGAGCCAAGAAGATACGCGGGTTGCCTGCACGCTGGAGTAGTTCAGCGACAGAGATCCAATCTTGATCGAGGTGGATGCGCTTCATCAACAAGCTCGGTTGGAAGTATCCGTCATCATACCACTTTTGCATGGTTGCAGCAGGGAACGGGCCTTAGAGAGACAAAAGTGAGCATTTTGCCACAAAACGGTAATAGCATCGTACCTTGCACTTGACCCTGCGGGTCGAGGTAAGACCACTCCACCGTGTTCAAATCCACAATCCCAGGCGGAGGACCAGCAGGCGTGTTCTCAAGAATTGTTTGCGAGACAGCGTTTCCAGCATTCATCTCGACTCCCTGGGTGTTCAAGGACAGCTTCCCAACACTGGCGCTTACGATATCTGCGTTCGCTTGAGCCTCGCCAGAGCCAGCCAGCAGGCTCTTTGGAGGCAGGTCGTTCGGGGGAGCATTCTCATCTCCATTTGCAGCCCCCACATCGCTTTGACCTGTAATCCTGTGCTCCTCTTCCTCTTCCTTGATACCGGTGGCCTGCGAATTATCCTGGTTCTCATTCAGGTCTCCTGCACGCCCCCCGGCCTTTAGCAACCCCTCAGACGTGCGCCTTCTAATCGACCAGGAGTCGCTTAGGACTCCATCAATGCCTGCAGCACCCGGAATGCGAGTTCGGGGTGAAGGAAGGGCCTCACGTGGAGAGAGCAAAGGCGCGTGGATAGAAGATTGGGAGAGCTTTCGCGGTAGAGTCAAGGGAGGTTGATCTGAAAGTGGACACGTGGAAGTAGTTTTGCTCATGAGCGCCGTCAGAGGAGAGTAATGGTCCGCATAACGAACCTGTGCTATTTTCTCGTCTGCGCCCCATGTACCCACCCAAGCGTTCCCTGAGCGGGCTGTTCGGACCTGTGGTGCTATGATTGAGCTTGGGACGCTCAGTGAGACCCGCAGTCGAAAGCGAGAGATAGTCTGCAGACGGGCGACGGCGCATCTCAGAATTCAGCGGGCCAGCGAAGAGCTGCAGGCGGGCGGATAAGGTGAGCGAGCGGCCCTTTTGACGATGACGAGAAGCGCGGCAGGGCAGAACCAACCTTCTTCTCTGGCTCGCCCATCTCCTTGAGTGAAATAGGGTCTGCTCCGAGCTCTCTGACGATGCCCTCCCACCGCTCGACTTCAAGGCCAAGCCCACCCTTCCCGCCACCCTCTCTGTAAATCCTGACTAAATCCTCCTTGGAGTAGCGAAACGGGCGCGCGTGGTCGCGCTTCTCAGGCAGGGCCTGCGTGGCGGGAGTGACGAGAGCAGAGTAGGAGGACACTGCTGTCGCGGTAGGGGTCGTCAATGGCGGTGAGGGATTCGCGCGCGAAGGTGCTTGCTTCGTGCGCATCCACTCAGGACCGAAATGCATGGTGGTGGTGGTCATTTTGTCGATGGTTGGGACGGATTTGATTGCTCGATGTGTCAAAGGGCGACAGGCGCAAGTTGTGTGGCTAATAACGCTCAAGGCAATGGTAGAAGACAAAGTCTCTGCGATGAGGCAAGCAATTCCTCGAGAGCGCCCGACACGGCAACCTCAGGGCGCTTGACAAGAAAAAGTCCCGGAAAATAAATTATGTAGCTTATCATCTAGGAGTGTAGTACATGCCACAGCAGCTACACGAAAACACAATGCTGTGCACCTCCCCAACTGCCACCTTACAAAACTCGCCATTTTGCGGGCGGGACGGCTTTCATGTCGTCATAGGTCAGCGTGTCCCAGGGACGGCCAAAAAAACGCCACAAACCTTGCAATTTCCTCGCCGTCGGGATCATATGGAAGATGACCGACAAGCATCCGAGCACGAGACACATCGCAGACACGATATAGTAGCCATCGCGTTCAGTAACGCATTCGCCTCCGAGATCAGTGCAAGCCATCTTGCCATGGTCTGAGACGCATTCCGCGGCTAGCCCAAAGCATGAGATAAGTAGATGACAACCAACGACCAGCGAGCATTACCTGGCACCGTAAGACCTTGCTCTTTGATCTGACAAGTAGCGACAGTGAACATATCTACGCCTAAGGCGCCTCCTTAACCAAATGCTCTTCAGATTATTTGTGTGCCCTTACCTTTTAGGACGAAAAATCTCGGCCATGTACCCCCGAGGTTGGTGAAGGTCGCCAAAAGCTATTGTCCAAGTCAGTATGAATGGTTTAGAATAACTCGCTCGCATACCGTCATGTAAGTTCCGCCCACAACCGGGTCCGAAATCCTCGTGTGGAAGGCAGAGATGCCGCCGAATTGAACCGTGCCAGCGAATGACGACAATACCGTCTGCACGACCAGCACTACAAAAAACCCCAAGGAAATCGGCGGCTTCGGGAACCAATACACCGTTAGTGTTGCAACAAGCGCGAGTAGCAGCCTCGGCCAGAACGCAATTATCCATGGTCGTAACGGCTTATCACCGCGTGACCAGCGGCCCGCAACCCAACCCGCAAGCATCTGGAAAGGGAAGTCGATGAGGACGGCGATAGCAAGGTCCTCGCGTCCGAGGCCCTTCTCGACCATTTTGAGCTGCGTCGCAGCGTCATTGGCTGCCCAGCCGATCTTGGAGAAGAAGTGAAGGAGACAGAGGATCTGAACATCTAGTAAATGCGTGTTAATCAAGTCTCGGAAGGCGGTGACGCATAAAACTCACGCTTGAGCTTGCAAATATTCCACATCGTCGTGTAAACGCTCTTGATACTCAGATCTTCGTCATCAGTGTCCTTATCCTCCGTTACGAAGAGCAACCAGACGGTGACAGCGAATGATACGGCAGCACAGAACTGCATATACGTACCAATACGCAGACGTGGAATACCCCACTTCTGTCTGGTAAAAGTCAGCACCCCACGTCGTTCACTTTAAGTAGGCAGGCTCACGAGAAGGATTCACTGTTCAACGCTAAGAAGACAGTGAAGGACGCGAAATATCCGGTGTTGAGACCTATCGTCTGGCATGTGCTGGCATATGGCAAATTTTCTTGAGACAACAGGGTAAGAGCCCAGCCTGCATTGCAATGAGACATTTGACAAGACAGACTGCATGTGAGGATGTCATACCGTCCACAGCAATATCTGTCATAATTGAAGTTTATTAGTATCAAAGACACGGTCTAGTCAGCGAACAGACCTTGTGTAGCGGATAACGTAACAAGAGTGGTGAATGCAGCAGATAGCGCATATATATGTTCCGCGGGCTACAAAATAGTCAACGACGAGAATAAGTCGGACAAGAAGCAGTTAGGACTGACATTGTTCATGAACTCCTCCGCATTAAGCGAAATAACAAACATTAGGGTACCGATGACTAACTGCATGGGTATAATCCAGGATTTACGACGACCGACGGAAGGGAAGAAGAGAGAATCTACGATGGGCGACCAGAGCAACTTGAGAGAATATGGATAGCTTGAGAGAGAGAATACGGCGAGCTGGGAATACGACAAATGCTCGCGAAGGAGAAATGGCAGTGATCCTAACATGCAGCTGCGTAAGCGCTTTCGAAACTGTCGAGAAGGAGGTGACCGCACCTAAAGCAAGACCTAACTAGCCACGAGACGAACATTAGCTTTTACGCCTTCGAGGCTGCTTTGTACTTACCGGAAATCCTTGGATAAGATCTGCGCACAGTTAGTAATAGATAAAGGCCAAAAGTTACGTTACTAGCGACTCACAAAGAATAGTGAGCAGCCCCAATGCACGTTTGTCTGTCGCGGACATGGGCTTCTTCTCTCCTGGCGAGAGATACTCCTGCTCTTCCTCCACTGACAGTCCGTTTTCCGCCTGTCTGCGCTCCTCTTCATTCAACAGGCTCATTTCCATTTCGTCAATAGGCTCCCCATCTCGTGGCGTCCAGCCGTTGATCCTCTGCGAACTATGAGGAGTCTTGGGCGTGCGAGGCTGTATGGAAATGCTCTCGAGCGAGGTGGTTGTGCCACGAGGGTTATGTCTCGACATGGTGTCGTCTTCGCTCGTTGCAGGCGTACTGCGTTTGGATTTTTGGGCCTTTTTCCTCCGACGTGACGGACTGGTGGCAGATGTGGTCGACATAGGGCTCTGCCGCCAAGCAAGTTTCTGGCTGTGTCGCGTCGCGCGCTGAGAGAAGCCAAGCAGCTTACATAAACATCAGCACAGCCGCTTTTGGCAACGTGTCATTCACCCAGTGGCTCCCCGTCCTCAGCTCCGTAACCTAGTCTAACAGTGCGCCGGCTTGAAGACGAAAGGTAGTATCTGTAAAACGCTGTAATTAACGTGTACAACGATATTGTCAACTGAGGACCTCGAAAAAAGACTGAGACTGACTTAAACATGGATTTATCCTACCTGCGTCAGGTAATGCGATTGAGCAAAGCTGCCACGTATTGTTTAAGTATTTGAGGGCGGCAGCTTCTCAGTACGAGACAGCGACGATTATGAGCCCACTAGCTAGTTCTTACAAGTGCTACTTGGGATGCGAAATCACTTCGGAGACTCCCACACAGCTCAATAACCAGATACCCGGCAGAAATTTGTCGGAGGCGAGATCTATCTTTTGGACACTGCGGGAGCATGGAGCTCATTTCTCTGTATAGTTATCTTGAAACACAACGACTCACGTCGTACACGTTGAAAACATGCTGCCTGCGCGCTAAGAGCACGTAAGATTGATTGGCACCAGTTGGCACCCCACAGCAGCAGTAGCCATACAGAAGTTCTAGTGGCTGAGATTGATCGGATAAGGGTGAAAGGTTCCGATGCCTGGCTAGGCCAATGGCGCGGTATCTGCTCGATCCACGAGAGCGACTTTGAGGGGCTCTGAAACAAGGCTATGGCTCTGGAGCATAGCATTTTTGGATTCCTGAGCGCAACATTGAGGATACTGGACTCGCCCGGTCGACGTCTCTCGGATGTTCTGAACCAGGGTTAGGCAAGGGGAAGCTTGATACTGCTGGCATGGCCAGGGCTTCCTGGAAACACCTCAAGGTTGCAACCTTGAAGCTCGAGCGAGATGAACCTTCTCTCTTTCAATCATAGCGACTATCAACCCTGCTCCTCAAGGATTTGCATGGTACTCGCAACAACGTTCAATCTACTCAATAGCAAAGCCTGGATGGCTCACTTCGTCTCGCTCCCTCCGCAACAGCCATCTGGAACTCTGACTTGTAATCATCAAGCTCCTGCCAGGAAACGCATTGCATCCATGCGATCTCCTTCCTCAGGGCCGCCATTCGGTATATCCTTCGCACGTTGCTGCGTAGTCTAGATTGCTATGTTGGCTGTCGAGCCGACGGGATACAACGAGACGGGGAACGATATTAAGTAGAGGACAGCGCGCAAATCCGCGCCTACTGCCGTCGCTGAGCGGCACAACAATGGCTTCGTTTCCCTCATTGTCCTCGGAGCCCGGGTGTAGGATTCAGCGGGAGCCACCGAGGGTGGGAACATGGCTGCCTCGTGTCCAGATTGTGTCGGCAGAGCCCCGGCGACTTTGTGGTGTAACGACCTCCACGCCGCTCAGGGCCACTCCTCCGCCTCTCTTTCCCGGCTCAAGGTCAGGAGGAAGCCTCTGTTTTCCTGCTTTCTCCCGACACGTCCTCTTCCTTACACAGGCTATTCTGGCGCAGCGCTGACCGCTGACCACCCCTTCTTCTACCACCTCCATCACCTCTGGCTGCGCCTCAGGTCTTTCCTTCACACGCCGTCTTTACCCCCTGCTTGCGGGCCATCCATACTCTGCGATGTACCTCCACATCCCGCTCGTCCTCTTCCTCGCCAGCACTGGCACCGTTGACGCTAGTCTCCTCGCTCGGAGTCATGACTCGCTCGTCCGCGCCGCCACACGCGCTCACAAGCATGCTGTTAAGCGTAGCGCCGTACTCGCGCGCGACCTCCGCCTCACCTTCCGCGACATCCTTGCTGCCGACTCCCAACAGCAGCCGGCATCGATAGGCAACAGTCGTGTGTATTGTGTCAACTCGCCTGCGCCAGGGCTCACAAATAGCAATGGGACGAATGTAAACGGGAACCGCCCGACTGGCACTGCAAGCGCAAGCTCTCACGGGGCATTTACGGGAACCGCAACTACGACAGCGTCCGCAGGAAGCTCGACGTCTTCGCCAGCGGCGAGTTCTCCATGGAACTTGGTCCAATCTTACGTGAGTACCCTGAAAGATTTCGACGGTCGCCTATTGATTGGCACTGCGCAACTACACAGCAAGGTTCTTCGTTCTTCACTGGTTGGGACTTTTTCGTCGGCGGGGACCCGACGAATGGCATTGTTACTTATATTGATCAGCCCACCTCAGTACGCGCAATCCCGAACCGTCTGCCTCCAGTGGCTGACTGTTATCTAGCAATCCGCAAACCTCACGTCGATAAACAGTGCAGGCCATGCGATCATGAGTGTGGAGACAACTCCACAGGTCACCAACACACGCCAGAGCATTCGGATAACGACTCAGAAGACGTACACAGGTGGCCTAGTCATCATGGATTCAGTCCACATGCCGACCGGCTGCGGTACGTGGCCGGCATTCTGGAGCAATGGCCCTAACTGGCCGGCAGGCGGAGAGATCGATATTGTCGAAGGTGCGCTTTGCCTTATAAGCTGTTAGGCTCCCAATCCGACATGTGACAGGCGTGAATGACTACACAAACAACCAAGCGACGATCCACACGAACCCTGGATGCTCTCTTACAAGTGGAAATTCGTCTGTGCTTGGTATATCAGGCTCCGTCGTTGGTGGAACCAACTGTGCTGCAGCGCAGACGGGGAACCAGGGCTGTGGTGTGCGTGCGAGCCAGACAAACTCATTTGGTGCTGCCTTCAACGCTATCAACGGTGGTGTCTATGCTAGTACGTCCGTTTTGCTTGGAGTATATTGCCATACCTAAGCTTTCTAACTTGTCGTAGTGAAATGGGATGACTCTGGTATCTCGGTCTTCTTCTTCTCTCGCAGCTCGATACCGTCCGACATCACTGCGAACGCCCCGCTGCCTGACAACTGGGGCACGCCGATGGCGTTTTGGCCGGCTGCCGGCTGCAACCCGTTCACCTTCTTCAACACGCATTCCGCCATCTTCGACACGACGCTCTGGTGAGTGCTATTATTGGAGTTCCTCATGTTCGAGGCGTGGCGCTGATGCTGGCTGATTGCCGCAGCGGTGACTGGGCGAGCGGCGTGTGGGGCAGCACGGGCGTTCCGGGACAGGATCAGAGCTGCGCGCAGCTCACTGGCGTCTCAGACTGCGCAACATACGTGAGGAACAACGGGGCAGCGTTCGCTGATGCTTGTTAGTACAGCTTGAAATCTCTTCCGTCGCCTTTACTGACATCGTATCCATAGACTGGGAAGTCCGCTACGTACAGATTTACCAAAGCTCATAACCTCTATGACCTGGCACCTTGTTTCATCAATCGTGTTTTCCGCACGACTCGCGCTATTGGCGGCCCTTTCGATGGAAGCCCGTTAACCATGCATACACGGAGACTTACGACACATGATCCCAGATACTTATCTAAATATTGTATGATAGATAGAGCGCTATTAGCATGTACACTTTTTTTACTGTACTGTACTCTAGATGTACAACATAGTGTTATGTAGAGGATAATTTAAGGCAGCATATCGTGTAAGAGCGCGTTGGGGTGCCTGAGGTCCTGGTCACGGGACCGTGATCGGAAGTCGCGTCTGGCTTGTCGGCGCCAGTGCGTTCGACTTAGACCAAACGTCGCCTAGGCATTACAGACCTAGCAAGCATGGCTACCTTAGGAGGAGGCGTCTTCGATTTCTTCCAAGATAATGATTGTAGTGAAAACCAGCGGTACGCGTATTCATGAAATATGCGCGACTGTACCCGAGTATTACTCACATCCACGACAAAGAGTGAAGGACAGTGACACGTCGCCAAGGAAAAGCCCCAAAAAAGTTCGCTAAAGTTATTGTTATAAGCTCTGATGAAGAAGATATTCCGAAGTATGTGCCAGCTCATGATCCGGGGCACAGTATGTTGGCTGACGTTGGTGCCGACAGGACACCTCGCAAAGTAGTTAAGGCCACTCCAGTTCGCCCCGTTTCTCCCAAATTCGCGTTGTCCAAGAAGGATATCCTCAAGCCCGAGGTCGCTCGAACAAAGCCGTTGGGATCATTCCGATCAGCGGAAGGCTCATCCACCACGGAAACCGCGAACCGCGCGTCGTTCACCAGGCCATCGTTGGCAGCTGCATCCGAGTTGGAGAAAGACACTTCATCCTCAGAACAACGCGAGTATGAAGCCGCGCCGTCACAGTCTCCCGTCAAGGCCAGTCACGACGATATCATCGACCTCACGTTGAGCTCGTCGGAATCGGGCGACAGCGACTCGGAGGCTGACAAGCGGGAAGTCACCTCTCTCATTTACAGCTCTCCGCCACTTAGTAAGCTGTCCAATGGAGTAGCGCTACCGAGCCTCGATAGACTATCGCTCAAAGGCGAGTCCACCCCGCGAAAACCCGTCAGCCGGCGAGTGTTCGACTCTGAGGGCAAATTGAATGTTGGTCCGGCGCTGAGACCTGCGCCCGAAGCTTCCCGGCGACGATGGATGGAAAGGTCACCCGAATCCGAGGACGATGCACCACAGACTGCGGCTCCCATCTTTCAGCCTCGTTCCTTGCAGACGCTCCCTCTGAGAAGAACGCCCAGCCCTCAATTATCTCCCCCGACGAGTCCCGCAAAGAAGGGTAAAGCCTCGCGAGTAACGAAGAAAGCGCAGCGCGAGGCAGAGCGCACACGGCGTGAAGCATACGCGGAGGAGCTCTTCAAGGAGCTGAATGCATCGGTGTTCAATGGCGGCCTGCCGGAGACGACGGCTCTGACATGGAGTGTCCGGCTGTTGACGACGGCTGGAAGGGCGAAGTGGCGCAGGTCGAGAGACGGGACACAGACGACGGAAATCGAGCTTGCAACCAAGATTTTGGATAGCGATGGTAAGTGTGGCTGGCGTGTTCATCAGTGATAGGCTAACGAAATTCTAGACAGGATACGTAACACGCTATCGCATGAAATGTAAGTACATACTGTGACAGTCCCGGAGGTTGCTAAGCGCTAGACAGGTGCCACTTAGCATGCTGGATCATTGACGGTGATCCTAAGGAAGGGCATGGTAGGGCGTTCAAGGCCTGGTAAATAATTGCAACCCCTCCACGCTCACTTTGAGACTCAAACGATTTCAGGGCCGCAAGAGTCACTCGGAAACGACCTGACATCACAGTCAGCGTATGTCCTTCTGCTTCTTCATCTGGTATGTAACTTAGCTTTGCGGCCGCAGACAACACACAGCTATAAAATTGACTATCCATATGAATGGGGTTCGTCTGCTATCTACATGCATCACTTGCTTATGCTCACATCATAGCACAGAATGCGATTACTGTTCCAAAGTGTATGTGGTCTGTCATGCCCGGTAATATGCCGCTGACCATTTCACTTAGTTATGGTCGCCACAGCAAATCCATCAAGATCGAAGAGTGCCGTACGTGCAGATCATCTGAAAAGCCACCATGTCTGATTCGAACATGCAGGCTGCGGGACATGCAAAACGGGCAAGCTTGTCCCCCTGTTTACGACCCGGGCCCCTAAGACGCCGAAATCAACAGGCCCTGCTACCAGACCATGTGCGTACCGCTGCCTAGTATTGCGCCACACTATTTGCCAACTAAGCGGTTTTTGTATCGGAACCATCTGCACGTGTATCGACGGTCTTGAACTCGCCCTGTGATGTGCCTCTAGATGGTGCTGACACCGACTCGGCCGAACCTGACAAGCGGAAGCACACTCAAGTGCATTCAGGACCACCGAGATGGTCCATTGATGCAGAACTGGAGAACGTTACGCGAGAGATGGGTGGAATAAGGATCTTGGAGTGATCGTTTCTCAAGTAAATTTTCTTATCAGTCGTACTCACTTACGGCCGTACTTGTCAGCCGGGCCTGCCTTACTGTAATAACGTCGAAGAAAACCGGAGCTCATTCAGTCAGTGTCGATTGAAGCGTAGTGATTACACCGAGAGCAGCAATCCTATGAACGATCTAGAGCCAGGAGACATGATTCTAAAAGGCATACAACTCGACTATGACGCTTGCGGAGGGCGAGGATCTGTAACGTTAGTGTTCATGTCGAACAAATCTTGCATCTGTATGTCCATAGCGGAAGTGTCCATCGAGCCGTCCGCCAGAAACTCAAAACCTCCAAAATCGAAATTTTCCGAACCTGGTGGCGCCGCACCGCTATCGGTGCCTGACTGCCCCATATCAGCGGCAGCAGCGTTGATAGCCTCCAACATGGAAGGAAATGGCTGAGTCAACGCCGACGCATCGCCACTCTGGCTTTGCTGGTTCGGGTCGGACTGGGACGGACCGGACGACGAATGTCCTTCGTGCGGAGGTATAGCCTGAGCGGCAGCGAGCAACTCTGCATCTGCTTTGGCTGTATTGCTGTCCGAAGACCGCTCGTAGCCCGAAAAGAGGTCCAGATCGATCTGCTCTTGCTTCGGCACGACATCTGCGCCGCCAAGACCAACATGGCCTCCCGCTGCGGCGATGTCCCCAGCTGCATGCGGGTCGCCAAAGATATCCATGTCGAGGTCAAGGTCGAGCTCTATAGGCTTGTCCGCAGAGCTACCCAGCGCAGTGTCGACGACGCCGCTAGCAGATGGGACTACGTCGTCTCCCAGGGTGAGATCGATGTCGACGTCCTGCGGTGCGCCGAACGTGAAGTCGGGTGGTACCTTGGATATGCTGGACTTGGGTGCGAGTGTAACGGGCGACGACAATCCCGGCTGGAGCAGGGGGTCGTTGGGGTCAAGACGCAGCGTGGCAGCTGACAGGTCGAGTTTGTGAGGGAACGGCGGGCGATGGAGAGAAGAAAGAGATATAGTAGATTGACGACGCGCGGGTAAGCCTGGGGTCTTCTGCGCCTGCCCAGGGAGAGAAACGGTCGCTGATTCGCCCTCCTGGGCGGGAGAAATGAGGGATGTTTCTTCCTGGGGTGGCGGCGCCGCAGCTGCAGCCGCCCGAGCGGCGGCTTCTGCCTCTGCAGCTTCGATTCGGTCTTGCTCTCGTTTGAGGTCACGTTGAAGCACAGTGATAGCGCGGCGCTGGAGTGTATGTGCTGAACATTCTGATTGTGAGCCATGAACATTGATGAAACGTACCAGTTGCGACTGAATTGCGTCGCAGAGTTGGCCATATTTCTCGACCTCCCGCCCGAGAGATGACGTTAGGGTGCGCGGAGGATATGGAGTATAGCGGTGGATTCCACTGGACAAGGGAGCTATTCAATAAATTTTCACGTAACTATGGTGTACTGGACATACAGCTTCTTTGTATCCGCGTAGAACTGCACAACCTGTCCCGTCTTCACCACTGCCGACTGCACATACAGATTAGGCTGTATCAACCACTGACATGAATAGACACATACTCGGAGGCAATTCGAAAGCGCTGTAGCTTCTGGTACGAGAATGCCCTTCGGCGGAGGCGGGGCGGCGGGGGCACTGGCGGGTAGGGGAGGAGGAGGCATGACTTGGGGATTAGGAGTTTTTTGAAGTTGATTTATACCGTCTTTTGCGGCAGACGAGAGTCGACTTTGCACAGGCCGGGGCTTCGGAGCCATGGTGATATTTTAACCAATAATTTTTGTGCCCCGGACGATGTTCTTGAAGGGTGAATAGACAATCCTGGACTTGCGTATGGGCGCGCCAGCGGTTGTAAACGTACAGCTCTTTGGCCAGAGGATGGCTTCGCGGAAATTATTTGAGTATCTGAAGGTTACTATGCGAGCCCGGAAAGTACATGAGAGTTCAAGAAAGAAATGCGCATGTGCTTGTAGAGCGGCCGGAAGGCTGGTCAAGAAGATCACGATCATCCACCCAGTCGGTCTGGGTGGAATTGATGTAGTCACTTGCCTCCTGCACGCACCTCAGACATCATACACGGCCACCACGCTCGCGGCCCGCTTGTATTCAACGCACCGTGACTACTGCGGTCGGGGTTCTGAACGAATGAGCGGCCTGTACATTATAGCCTTGTGACGAACACCACCTGATTAGCGGCCCCGAGGTCGTCAGAATACCATGCTCAGCGAGACTGGACGACCGAAGGAGGGAGAACTTGTGGCTCCAGTTGCGTATACACTCGCTTACCATGAGTTTATGTTCTTAACTTCTGCGTTCTGCAGCGTCGCGTTCGTCACATTACTTCAATCCAAGTCCGCAATCTTACACCATTTCCCATCCGCGATGAGGCCGCCTCTGCCCTTGTCTTGCCCTCCGAACAACCGCAATTCACTCCACATGGCAATCTATCTGATGATTTGGATGTCACGCTTGCTAGGAAACGTGGCAGGCGCAAGTCGTACGTCTCCGCACAGACCCTCTTCTCTAACGAGCTTTCCGGGGCGGACGGCAGCCCGAGTCTGAAAGAGTCTCTTACAAAGAGGCAGCGCGCAGCGTCGAGAGCAAGCGTGACGACCTCGCCGAACCTGAAGGGCCGTCCTAATGGCCCTCCACCTACTGCAAGACCCACGCTGAGGGCACGCACTCCCTCGATGGCGTCCTCCATATCTAACTTTTCCTCATCCGTCCTCGAACCCGCGACATCCTCGACGCCATTTTCTGGACTCTTACGAGACACTTCTCAACCTGCTCTGGAGAGGGTGTTACAGTCGCGCCTGGTGGAGACATTTCTCACTGTCACTATACCTCCTACTTGTGACAGTGCTGACGAGAGCGACTTGGAGACCTTGTCGTCGGCAATGAAAGATACCAAATCGCAAAGCAACTCGCCGCAACCACCTCGTCGTAACACTACTATAGCTTCAGGAAGTAATGGCGTGCCAAAGCTCGCTGACCCTATGCGACGCGGGTCGTTGTCCAAAGGGACATCGGCTCGAATTACTTCCGGACACCATCGAGCCATGTCTTCTTCTGCGGCTTCCTTAACGAAGGTTATCGCGAAACCATCCGCTCCGCAGACCTTGCCACGATCCATGACTCGAGACCATGCACTCTCAAGGCTGTCCTCTACCTCTGCTCCCCATTTAAGCACACTAGATCCTGCCCCACCCAAAGACGACTTTCCTGTAATTCCAGACTACCTGTCGCCTATCCACCAACCGTCGATAAATCCGTCTTTCAGCATTGATGCCCGAAGTCACTTTGATTTTGCGCAGGACACTGATCTGAGCATGGCACGTATGTCGGTTGAGATCTGGGGGAAAGTAGTGGACCCGAAGTCATCGCGCCAATCCAACGGCAAAGGAAAGGAGAAAGCGCGGTATGCAGATGAGAGAGAAGTGGTCGACCAGGGTGGAGAGTGGAAGGTCTTGGAGCGGTGGGATGTGAATTTGAACGACCTGATACCGCTCCAGAATAATGTGAGTAGCTCATATACGCGATCAACTACGTGTCTGATGAGGATATAGATCGTGCATTATCCTTCTCGCCTTCCTCCGAACACATTGTGTGTGACTCTCGACCCTCTGGGCCAAACCTTCTATCTGCCGTCCTTGCGCTCAAGCCTCTCAGTGACGCTACCTTCGCGCTCATCTTCACCGGAAACGGGATACAACTCAGATGGGGAGTCCGGTATTCGGAGGAAGTTCACAGCCAAGTCTAGTGAAATTCCGGCTCCAAACGTGAAGGCGAATGAACTTACCCCGGATCTCAACGATTTACGCATGTCCTTGGCCAGACGACATGGTAGTGAGCGCAAGAGCGTAACCTGGCAGGATTTGTTCAAGTAAGCGGTCAGTCATTGTTCCTGCTTTTTGACGTTAAGGCCACGGTCCTTTCAGGCTCGTAACTCTACAGGCCGTCATTCAAGACACAGCAAAGTTATTATCGGATGTCGTGCGCGATATTGACAAGCTTGTTACAACCAATGATGTCAGTACTCTGGTATGTACTGTTTTACCTCTGACGCCACTTCTACTCTGGCTTGTGGCGTCCTTGTTTGCCCTGAAACTATTCTCAATATGTTGACTAAAGACTCGCGAAGCTTCGGAGCGCAACGCTTGGGTGAAAGAACTGCGTCGCGAGGTCGACAATGTTGAGCAATGCTCAAGGACTCGTGAGTTGCGCCTATTTAGTTCCTGAATTTTCACCTAGATATGATATAGTGAAAGAGAGGTTGCAGGCGAAGAGGGAGGACCTACGTATCCGGCGGCAGATTCTTGCAGAGGCCCGCGAGGTGCACGATGAAGACTTGCAACAAGAGGTCGAGACTGAGGCTTTGTTTTCCTCTGAGAGGTAATTCTACCGCCACTAAGCTTATCGAGACCTCACGCATATCTCTGCATCCAGTCAAAGACTCATACAGCTCCGCCACCGCATATCGCCAATGCAGAACATGTTGATTAGCACTCTCGCTTTCATCTTTCCGATAGATCTACTCTCCCCGCCAGACCTGCTCTTCACTATACTCGACGTCCCGCTCCCTATCCCGAACGCGCCGATGGATCCTGCGCCACCGCTCTCGCTGTCTTCGCACAAGGAGATCAACGAGGAGACCGTTGCGACCGCATTGGGCTTCGCCGCACAGGCGGTCCAATTATTGGCAGCGTATCTTGGTATACGCTTGACGTATCCTGTTACTTGTGTTGGTGGCAGGAGCTTGATCAAGGATAGCATATCGCATATGGTTGGACCTCGGATGTATGTTGTTTTATAATTATCCGTTCAAATTCTTAAGGCTGAAAGGAACTCGTAGGTTTCCCTTATTTTCCAAGGGTGTGGACACATACCGCTTTGAATACGCAGTTTTCTTGCTGAATAAGGATATCGAACTGGTGAGGCGTAACTTTCTTCCTGTTTCGGTCGCGGTTTGACTGATGGCTCTCCTCCGAAGCTCATGACCGAGCGGAACCTTAGAGCTTTGGATATGCGTCATACATTGCCAAACTTGAAGAACCTGTTATTGACACTCACTAACCCTGATACGCTGCAAACAACGTAGGCCCTATGGCGATCCTCGCTTCATTCTAGCTAATGACGCATCCAGATCCTATCGTCCTCCAAGCGTGGCGTCCACGACCATCTCAGCTCTACAGTCTCCAGTATTCGCGCCGTCTACTCTTCCAGCGGTCGGAGAGCCTGCTTCTTTTGCGCCGACCGACTCCGTCTTGGCAGCGTCCGAAGAGGACGGAAGTGATGGTGAACCAGCAAGCGGTGCTGTTACACCTACGAAGATGCCAGAGCCGGTTAACATGCCCACCAGCACGGTGAGAAAATCGAAAGGCTTCCTCGACCTCACTCCGCTGTCGGGCTTTTTTAAGCGGAATCCGTCTTCGTCCCGGGGTTCCGCCAAGGCAGAGCCACCGCTGGATGACGACCAGACAGGAGAGGCGACTCCAACGATGGCATCTACTTCTACACCTGTGGCTAGTCCTGCGTCTGCGCCTGAGTTAGCCAAGGCGCAGGCGGAGGGTAGCGGGAGCGGGGACGACGAGGACGACTCTGATCGGCGGACGATCCGTGCATCCACGTCCGGGGATGGTGCTGAAGAGAACAAACAAGGGGCAAAGATTCGCGCCGGCAGAGTTGCAATCAACGGCAACGGGACAGTACTCGGACATGGCGCTCAGGTGGGGGAGAAGATTGTCGAGCCCGCTTGCTCGCCGAGCGTGGTGGACGGCGTGAGCTGACGGTCCCTGTTTACCATGCGTGCTATACGGTACAACTATACTATACATTGGAATCTGCTTCCGCGATGATCGCGCAGGCTCGGAGATAATATATACACTGGACCCGCAGCCAAAGGGCAAAAGCCCATGAAAATAATAGCCAGAGGAAGAGATGGTGCTGTGCAGGTATGTGGCGCGTTTACTTGAAAAGATCCGCGGACAGATTAATTTCACGATTGGCGATTGGCGACTAGTAGAGGACGATTTAATTCCGTACATTCCCTGCACCGCGGGATAGGCCCGGCGAGGCCTAAAACCGGGAAGCAGCTTAAAGGTTCGCGGTACCATTGGGGCTTGAGGTAAGCAGCCTGCGCGTTCATCTTGAAAAAGATGCGTGGAAAGAAGCGTGAGTCAGCCCGGCCGAGTCGCTTGAAATGTTTTCGTGCAGCCTCGCACGCGCAAGCCGGTGATGTACACGGGGCGGTCGACATGACGATCCATGGGGCAGAATTGACGAGAGCGGGTCTCGTAAACGAGGCGAGTTTCGGGCGTTGGAGCATTCTGTTGGAAGGAGGTGAACCATGCACCCGCCATCCCCGGCCACTGTCCGGGCCCAGGCACCGACGCTTGCCTTATTAGGCGACTCACGCCCCTTGCCACGGGTCCATTCGCATTAGCCGATCACGGTCACAGAGCGTCACGCATAATGATGATGTGACGGACACGACAGTGAGGGAGCAGCGGAGAGCAACAGCTCGCAGGGCCCTGCCGCGCAAAGAGCTGTGAGCGAGGCACAAATAAAAATAAAATACTCTTCGAGCAAAACACCGAGAGCAGCAAAACAGGCGGAGGGCGAGTTGGGCGGTGGGAGCACGGGTCTCGCTTGAGAGCGTAACAGATGCGCACTAGCGAGGTTGGGCGTGTGAAAGATAAAAAAAAAGAGGGTAACCGCCGAAACATATTAGAGGGAGGGACCCTTGCGCTCGCTCATCCTCTGCCCGTGCCTTTGTACTACTGCTAATACTCTCACCCTACGAGTTTCTCTTAACACACCCTGGCTTTCGGCAGTCGTAAGCAAAGGTCAATCGTCGTCGTTGTTGCCCACACCGTCGCCGTGTACTTACACGTCGTCTCGCTCACAGCCCACCCGCCGCACTGTACAACATCAGTTCATCTTAGACCGGCTTGAAATCGGTGGCAGGTCTGTTCACCGACGTGTCTCGCATACACGCTTCTTACCTCGCCGCTGGACAGGATTACCTTTGTGCAATTAGGTCTCAGCGCGTCCTACATTACCTCCTTACCATCAATCTGTTCTCGTCAAACTCTGGGACAAAAGTATCTTCTGTCAATCTTCTTTCGCTATGAGTACTACCACGGAATCTACTACTACATCTAATCACCCCTCCTCCGACGACCGCAAGCAGAGTCCGCCCGCCTTTCTGGATCTGGCCGACTCCGTGCGTCCTCTTGTCTTTGCTTCGGCTCACACATTCGGTCTCACAGACGATGTTGCTAGGCTGCGAGATACGGCAATCCCGCTGGCGATGTTGTGCGTCAATACTCTGTGAGCTATCTTGCCAGAGTCTTGCTGACCTTTTCTCACTTAGCGTATACTCAAGAAGATTGAGCATGAACGCCAGCGCGCTCTCCAGCGTAGGCTCTTCGAAGACCAAATGCGCGCTTTGGAGGCACAGCAGGCCCGGGAACTTCTCACCATCGACTCTGGTGCCAACCTCCAGCACCTTGCAGCATCGGCGCCGACCACCCCACCACGCGTGAACGCGATGCTCAGCAGCGAGTACTCGCCTGGCCTGCATCCCGGCTTTGCTCACCCCTCCGTCGATGCTGAGTCTCTCTCGAAGGCAGTTGGCTCTGCCGCCGACAAGCGCAAGTCTGTCACGTATGCTCCCTCTGTGGCACACTCGCCCGAAACCCAGAGCAACGGTCTGCAGAGCTTTGCTCGTCCCGGAGGCGCCAAGAGTATGCCCGCCAGCCGCCGGACATCTGCTAGCGAACACGACGAGGAACTTGCGGGTCACCTTGACAAGCTCTCGCTTGCCGGCGAGCGATCCTCTCCCTCCCAGGGTACTGCTCCACAGTCTATCCTTCGTTCCAGCAGCGGCCGCTACGCTGGTGAGAGCGCAGGCTATACCTACAACGCGGGCATGATGCTTGATGAACAGATTGACCAAGAGATGCACAGTCGGTATTTCCGCCGCATCAGATTTGTGTTACGCGCTAATTCCCGATTAGACGCCATGCGCCATCTCCCGACCTCGGACGAGGATAAATACGTAAACGGATATGGCAACAAGGTGCGCTTTGCGGTGCGCTTTTGGACTATCTCTAAAACAATGCTTTGTGAATCTAGATGTCCGCGTCCTCCGCCGCTGCTCTTGACCTGGCCGCCGTCCAGAATCGTGGGTCCTATATTGGCCAGAACAAGTCCTCCGAGTGGCTACAGTTTAATGGCAGCAGTCCCCGTCCCATTCCCGATCGTGTCTCGTCCCGCAACGAGTCCCGTCGTGTCGTGACGAACCCGACAATTGCGTTGTCTCCGGGCCTTGGTGACTTGCCCAAGGGTACTGTCTCAGGACACCACACGCCCCTCATTCAACAAATACCGCAGGGTTTAGTCCAGGGCTTGTCCTCGCGCCGTGGCTCTCCTCTGGCTTTACCAGATGGCATTATTGGCGGTATCACCGCCGCACGTTCTGTGCCGAACACTCCGCTTCCCGGCGCGGGGCCGAATGGCATTCTCAGCAAGGGCCTGGGCACGCCACTCTCCGCCGAGCCCCCAAACGTCAACGGCTTGCTTACCGCTCAGGGTTCAAGCCCCGTGGAACTACATCCCTCGCTTTCGCGTCTGCCCTCGAGCCAGTACGAATCAGGTGCTCTTGGCTACAACACTATGCAACCAAGTATGGACGATTCGCTCCAGGTATGCATTCACGCACCCGCATCGTAAACTCGGCTAATCAACAATGTGCGTAGGTTACGTACGACATGAACGTCAATGCCACGCTCGACAATAGCCGCTACAGCGACTATGATTACGACAGTGACAGCAGGCTTCCACATGCCAATGGCGGCGCGGGTTCCACGGCATTGTACCATCACAACGGTACAAAGTACGGCCTCGGCATCAACGGGCGGCAGAACGGTGACGGTAAGATGAACGGCTTACATGGGCCTAAACATAAGCGTGGGGACGTTGACCGCGAGTTCAACCGCTTTGCTGGCATGCGTCTTGAGGATCTTCAGGGCGAGATTCCATCCCTCTGCAAAGATCAACACGGTTGCCGATATCTCCAGAAGAAGCTCGAGGAGGGTGTGCCTGAGCATCGAGACATGATTTTCAGGGAGACTTTTGGCCACTTCCCTGAGCTTATGACCGATCCGTTCGGTAACTACCTCTGCCAGAAGCTGTTGGAGTATTGCACGGATGAGCAGCGTAACCTCATTTGCGAGTCCGTCGCCCAGGACCTTGTCAACATCTCGCTCAACATGCACGGCACGCGCGCTGTACAGAAGATGATTGACTTCCTCTCCACCCGCCGGCAAATCCATTCCATCATCGTTGCGCTCAGTCTGCACGTTGTCGTGCTCATCAAGGACTTGAACGGCAACCACGTCATCCAGAAGTGTCTCAACAAGCTTGCGCCCGAGGACAACCAGTTCATCTACAATGCCGTTGCCGCTAACTGTGTCGAAGTCGCGACCCACCGTCACGGCTGTTGCGTCCTCCAGCGCTGCGTCGATCATGCCTCCGAGCCGCAGCGCATCCAACTCGTGAACGAGATTACATACAACGCGTTGACACTCGTCCAGGATCCCTACGGTAACTATGTCGTGCAGTATATCCTCGACCTTAACGACAACCGCTTCTCCGACGCCGTCATCCGCCAATTCACCGGCAATGTTTGCGCACTCTCTGTCCAGAAGTTCAGCTCGAATGTCATCGAGAAGTGCGTCCGAGTCGCCGAGCATAGCACCCGCAAAATGCTCATTGGCGAGTTGCTTAATCGCACTCGTCTCGAGAAGCTGCTCCGTGACTCCTACGGTAACTACTGTGTTCAGGTATGTGACCTGCTGTTCTTCGCTCATTCGCTATGACTCATGAGCCGTGGCAGACCGCTCTAGATTACGCCGAGCCTACCCAACGGGCGCTCTTGGTCGAGGGCATCCGACCTGTCCTTCCTCTCATCCGTAACACCCCGTATGGCAAGCGCATCCAGAACAAGCTGCAGCGGGAGCAACTCGATGGACCTGGTTTCGGCGGCAGCCATTATGGCCAGCAGTCGGTCGCGAACCTCGCTCTTCGCAACCCGAACCTCAACATGGGAGGAATGCAGGGCGGCCATCTGAATGACAGCTACGGCAGCCCTTACGGCCTCCAGGGTGGGATGCAGGGGCAGGGCTCACTCTCGCAGAGCCACCTGCAGATGCAACCGCATTCTATCGATAGCTACGTCCTCCAAAATGGTTCGAGTCACAACAGCCCAGGCATGACGCCGCCGCACACCCACGCTGGCTTTTCCGCCGCGACGACGTATGGCAACGCGTTCCCCACCATGACCGTCAATGACGCGTATCAGCGTGGCTACGGTTACGGCATGTAAAATATGCTCCATTTTGCTCTGTTCCTCTAGACAGCCCTTCCGTGGCTTTCTCTTCACTTCTCGCAGTAGGTCGTACTCTAATCAAACCCCCCACTAACCATTCCGGCTCGCCGGAACCGATACCTATGGCTCATGCTCTCCTTCGGGCTATGACTTTCCTTTATCTGCACTGCCATCGGGATTTGCCATTCTACTATACTACCATCAACACCGCATTGTATTATGCACGCATCCGCACTCGCTTTTCTTTGCTTTGACGTCTGGTTCCTGACACTTATACAACACCACGCTTCTTGCTTGGCATCTCCATCCCTGTACAGCGTACTTTTCTTCCGGCTCCCATTTCTACATACTCCATACTTTGTTTTTATAGTACATCATCATTGCATTATTTGTCCTGTGTAGTTATCCGCAATCTATGCATGAGGTGCTAAGACGTGAGCGTGCCCAACTCATGGCTGCCAGTGTGCGCCACAATGCCTTTGGGCGCCCGATCCGGACATTAGCTGCGTGGTTCTGTCCTCGACCACCACACTCGCTACCAGAGCAGCAGGCGCAGTCCGATAGCGAGATGTCGAGACGCGCTCATGTCCGACGCGAGGGAGGTCCAAGATGTCTAGCTGGTATGGCCCCATCTCATGCTGATCATGATCCACAGAATTCGCCGGACGCCGACGAGTCGCGCGTCGAGCAGGTAACAGAAATCGATATCACACCACTGTCTATTTGCTTGCTACACGAGTTACCACAAGCACAATCCGACCTGGGGTGGACACCGAACTGGATAACCGACTTTGAGCTTAATCCACGGTACGCGAGATGGGACCGGCTGCCGCGGCTCAAACCTGATTCCACATCATCGCGACACGAACGCGAGCGGGACCGGACGCGCGAATCTTCTGAGGAGTCTCCAGTGAGGGCCCCGCCTTTGATGCCAAGACAGACGGTAGGAGATCCCGTCCGACTCTTTACCTTTCGTCACCTCGACTAAACGACGAGCAGGCCCGCCGTGGAAGGCCCGCCGCCGTTTCTCAGAAGCAGCCAGAGCCGACGATCGAATTTGAATAAGCCCTGCTCGCTTCATTAGCTTCGGTAGTACACGAATTGAAACCCGATGTATATCTCATGACACACGTTTTTATCGTACGCGAATGTCCTTAACAGCTGTCCATCCTCATCCTCCTCCAGAGGCAGCTCTTCTTGGCATTCGCATGTGTGGGCGTCTTCACAGATATTGCCACAGGTGCACGAGATAAGGAAGCCCTCGTCGACGGGTAGTACGTTATTTCCGCTGGCGGACTTCAGTCAGTAATTGTCATCCACCAAGCTTTGCCAGCCAGAGGTATAGGCCTCACAGCTCATATTCCGCCTCGACCCATTTGAAATCATCGTCCAGCTGGGGGATGGCATCATCTTCCCGGTCGCCGATCACGACGTACGCCGCGTGCACAATCTTGCAAGCTTCGTTCCATTCCTGCTCGAGCCTCTGTTTCGCGGAAAGCGTGAGAGAGGCGGGTGGACGTGGATTTTGCCGTGGAACCGGGATCGGCACGCGGGGCATGTCACGATTGCGATTCCGGGGCATGTCGTCTGGTTCCAAATCAGATGAATTAGAGCTCTGAGGGGGCATCTGCGGAGCCGTTCTCGGCTTTTTCCTGGGGCGTCAATGGGTACTATTGTCATTGAATGCAATAAAGTATGAGACACGGCAGCGCTCCAACACATTCTACATCCTCACTTGGAGTCTCACAGAACTGCTCCTGTGGTTTGAACCAGTGCATTAACCGTGTGGCGCAGCGGCCACGCGATGTGGCTTTGAAAATTTTCAAGACAGACTCGTGCGGTTGGGGCGTCAAAGCCTCAAAGGACCTGCCAAAGGGCAAGGTGCTGGGTTTATTTACAGGGCGAGTGCAATTTCCCCTATGAATGAGCAAGTCGAACTCTAATCATGAGTAGGGTACTCATGTTAGTATGTCGTGAGCATGGTTGCCTATGTCTGCGCTAAATACACTTTCTTCAGAACCCGTCGTGAGGCTGTCGAAATTACCGGAGAGAATAAGTCATACATCTTCGACCTTGATGCACTTGAGGAAGGAGAAGACATTACCGAGGACAAGAAGTACTCTGTTGATGCTTATAAGCGAGGTAGGTCGTACCCAAACACATCGCACTCCAACTCAAACAACGGCTTCAGGAAACTGGACGCGCTTTGTAAAGTATGAACGCTCCTATTAGCGGTGCATTCGACGACTCATACTGCTCGTAGTCACTCATGTGAGCCGAATCTGGAAGTCAGCCCTGTCGTCTGGGATGCGCCTGCTAGCGTACGTGCGATCCTGCCGCTTCAAACGTGCATTCGGTTACCTTCCGCAGATGAACCGGCCTTATCTCGCATTCGTGACAAAACAAGAGATCCCTGAGGGTAAAGAGCTCACAGTGGACTACGACCCGAAGGCGGCGCGTGATAAGAAGGGGAAGAAGCGACAGCAACCAGGTGCGAAGGAGTGCAGATGTGGAACGGCGAGCTGTCGCGGATGGGTAGCAGTGTAAGCGGGTAGCAAGGAACATAGTGAAGCCGGCATGTTAGACATATACGCATCCAAGAGTGCATGCAACGGGGCTCATGATACGGGGCGTAGATAACCTAGATCTGAGAACTACTCAAACATCCAGTCAATAGGAAAAGAGGAAGATAGGTAATAATTTAATCAGACTTGAGCCGCAATTTGCGAAGCAGGTTCGCAAATCCGTGATGTTGCCCATGAGCTTCGCGTGCATTGGGCTTGACATAGAACGACCCGGGCATATTGAGATATTCATCGTCAGGGTCGTGATCATGATCGCCATGGCCATGTCCGTGATCATTGTGCGCCCGACCGTTTGTCTGCTGACTCTCCTTGTGCAGCTCATGAAGCTCCTTCGGGACCTTCTGTTCGAGCGGCTCGTGGTGGTCCTTTTCATGCTTCAAGTCGTGTGCGCTCGTCTTGTCCGCAGGCGTGGTTGCGTCATCGGGCGGAGGCACTGGCGACTTGCGATCTGGGAGCGTTACATAATCTTCAGCGTGGACGTCCGGTAGTGGCGATTGTTTTGGCCGTGGTGTGTCTGACGGGGTGACCTTCACAAAGTCGTTCTTGCCCGGTAGGTCCGCCTGCCCGATGGCGCTGCCAGGCACAGACTCGGGATCGAGCTGTTGCTGTTGGTCGTCGTCATCTTCGTCGGAGTCCACCATTGTCCGCCAGCCGCCGCTGCTCTTGCTACTCGTGCTTGTGTGAGAGGCATGCGAACCGAAGCGGTGGAGCGCCCGCGCTCCTGCAATAGCGACTTTCCAGCGGGCGCGTGGGTTGAAGTGTTCCCGAAGGCCAGTGAGATCGTGTTCTGTGGATGGCACGTGGCTTGTCAACCACTGCAATTCGTTGTTAAAAGATGGTCCGTGGAAGGAGAGTTATCCAACGCACCGGATGTTGGAGGGCTTCATCTGCGGTTAGCCGCTTCAGAGGGTCGGCAACAACCAGAGATAAAATGAAGTCCTTCGCTTCCTTGGAGATGTTCTTCCAGTATCGCTCGTGGAATTCCAGTTTGGCGGCTGTCGTCTCTCGTATCAATTCCTTCACGTCGTCCGATCGGAAAGGTGAATATCCACAGAGCAACACGTAGGTGATGATGCTGTCATAGGGGCCATCAGCACGCCTTCCATGCTTGTAAAAGACTGGAGAACGGACCCAGTCGACCACAAATCAACGGCCTTTCCGTGGCCCTGGTTGTTTAGCACTTCGGGCGCGACATACCCAAAGCTTCCAGCTAACGAGTGTAGCTGTTCCTCTGGATCATGCAAATGCTTTGCGCTGAAGAACTGTGAAACACTGGTGAAGCGTAAAAAGAAAGTTACTTACATGCCGAAATCAGCAATGACGATATCAGAATCAGGGTCCCTGGTGCGGTAAAGGATGTTTTCCGGCCTGGATGAGAGCGGCTTAGTCTAATGCGGCCTGATGGTTGGGAAGGAATACGCACTTCAGGTCACGATGAACGATATCATGGTGGTGGAGGTACGAAACACCCGATAAGATGGACCGCACGACGCTCACTGCATCTGATTCTGTAAACTTGCCCTTCTGCGTGATACGTTCAAAGAGCTCTCCTCCCATGGCGAGCTCAAATGAGAGGTAGTATTTGGTTCGTGATTCAAACCATTCGTAGAACTTGACCTGTACAAAGAAATAAGGAAAAGATATCGTTAACGCAACAACATCGCACCCACGATGTTTTTGTGGTCCAAACCCTTGAGAACGTCCATCTCTCCCCAGACACTGTCTTCATTGCCTTTCACTTTCTTCTTGGGAATGACTTTCAGAGCGACCTCGACGGTTAGACCGCTGTCTTGCGTATGACTGCGGTGCGAGCCTATCGATAGGAAGGAAGACTTTGCGGTAGAGCCGCTCTTGTGACTGAGTGTCCGGGAGGCCGGTTGCGGGGAGGAGCCACCATTCGTTGAGATAGAAAGGGCGTCTGCCTCTGCGGCAGCACCCCTTCGGGCAATCCGCTCCTGACCCGCAGGGACATGCCAAGTCGCTTTCTGCAGTGAACACTGATTGAGAATGCTCGATCTTTGGTACACGGATGTACGTACCATAACCTTTCCAAAACTCCCTGTACCAAGAGTGTCATGAATCTCATAGTGCTTCTTCTTCGAGAATGAAGAAGGCTGGGGCAGGACTTTCTCCTGGAGAGAGAATGACTTCATGTTGGGGTGCTAGTGAACTGCGGCTGGCGGGCAAGCCGTCAGGAATGGTATCAAAGTATGGTGGGATATGGTATGATATGCTGTCGTTAGGTGGTATCTGGAGGAAAGCAAGAGGAATGCGAAGCTGGAGGAAAGGTAAGGAACGAAAAGCAGGAGTTTCGGTTAGAGGGTCGGATGGAGCGGAGGACGGCGGCCGCTGTTTCCACTGCACCGAGTATTCCAGTGCTCGATGATCTCAGGCACGGCCGGAATGGGAACTCCCACGTGACCCTCTGCGTTCACCCGAAAGTGGGTCGCGCTCAGCCTCAAAGCGGTGGGCGGCGGGCTGCAAGCTGAAGACACGTATTTTGTCTTCTGGTATACATACCGGTAAGCGAGCCCGTCCAGAATGCGAACGATATACCAATAAGGCACTCGTCATGCCCAGCAGGACGCGGCCACTGGCTTCAACGTTGGACGCAGCCGCACCGCGGCTACTGAAGCTCCACATAATGCTAATCGCGTCCAAGTCGAGCATAAGGCGACCCCACAGCGGAATGCTGCCGTCCCACGTGCCTCTCGCCCTCGCGAGCTGAACCATGTCGTCAGCCCTCAGCTTCTCATGCTTTGCGGCTCGTGCTGCCACAGCGACGAGATCTAGACGTTCGGCTACAGCTCAATGCCCGCCCCAGTAAACCGCCGGCGATAAATGCGCCACGTCGCGAACAATAACCATGCCTGGGTGCCACTCGTGGAACGATTAGATCGTGCCTCGCCTCACGGCTATTGAGCCCAAGGGAACCTCATTGTTCGCTTCATCCGCTTCGAAGGCGTCACGCCTATCTATTAGCAGTTCCTTCTTCGGATAATCACATCCAGCTGCAAGACAAGATCCACTGTCTCACATACCCACCACAAAAATTGTCGCAACTTGAACGGCATGACGCTCAGTTTGTGGCGCTTAGCGAAGTAATCTTCGACAATGTACGTTCTGAAGCTCATCCCCCCTTGCAAGCTCGACAGCTTGAGGGTGCGTTTCGTGGCACTTATAGGACCCTGAATTAAGCCCAGCTTTCTGTTCCTCACAAAGGGCGGCAATTTACATCATGCCGGGAGTCGCAGCACAGAGTGTGGAGTGGCGAGCTCGATTCAAATGATTGGCACAATCTCAGCAACAGTACGGTGAATAGTTAGCGTCCGCTTCTTTCGTGCAGCGAAAAGGAGCGCGCGCAGAGGGTCGGTCTGTTTCCGACCGGGCCGTGTCTATTCAGTATCTCTCCCAGCGAACACGTGTAAAAGGCGATCAAGTGTGGGCCTGGCTACCACGTACCTCGCGTGCACCCGGCCGCCGAGTGCTCCCTTTTGCCATGTCTGCTTCGATGTTCTGCTACTCAGATTCTGGTAAGAAATATGCTATCTTCGCACTACGTTGCTCGCTGAACCTCTAATCTGCAGACCATACCGACTCGGACCACAATTCCCGCAGCTCGTCCCCCGCCACCGAATTTCTGCCGAAGGATATGCTCTCTAGCTCACCTTCATCTTCTGTCTCCTCTTTGTCCTCTTTATCACCCTCTTCACCGTCATCGCCATCGCCATTCTCTTTCCCCTTGACGCCACCTCCGACTCGTCGCAAAGCAAAAGGCCCAAAAAGAAGTACATACCCCACCATCCACGCTCGCCCGACCATATTCCCCGCCCACGCAACGCCTTCATGATACATCGCCTCGGCTTCTACCGCCAAGGTCTCATGACGCCCGACGTCGAACGCGACCATCGCATTATCAGCCGGGTCATCGGTATGTGTCTGCGAAAGCTATCCACTGACGAGAAAAAACACTGGTTCGAAAGGGCCGCTGAGGAGAAACGGCTACATAAGCTCAAATATCCTGACTATCGCTTCCGTCCGCAGTACGGCAATGAGCAGAAGCAGAAGCGCAACGTAAAGCGTAATGGGCCCAAAGAGCTAAAGCGCTGCTCTGCGCTCGCAGACGCTATTGCGCAAGGAAGACGGGTCGAAGAGATCAAGGCTATTGCGAAGACGTACGATGAGATGCCGGAAGAGAAGTCTTTAGACGCATACACCACAGCTGTCTTCGACTCGCGGCCTGTCAGCATCGCCATATCGTCCCCCGACGCTCCCGTTCGCAGCCCTCTTGTCGCGCCCACACTGCTCGGACAGCAGCAGCATGTCGGCAGCCTTCAGTTCTCCAACGTTGAGTCTGGCGTTGGACGCCACTCCGTGGGCAATGTGAGCTTTTTCGCCTGGTTCACACCGCCTCTGGTACTATTATCTTTGTGGATCTCGTCGTTGCCTGTCTATCGCACACAGGGCCCGGTATCGCATGTTTTAGGATCACAATAACCCCTCGCATCATACGGCACTACCGCCTGGGGCATTCCACCACCTGTACAACAGGAACGCGGGCCTTTGTATGCAGGTGCACCAGCATTTATCGTGTCGCTCAACAACCCCACGTATGCAACTCCGAACTATCCCTCTTCGTTGTCCACCGACCATGCGAGCACCACCGAATAGGCTATTCCCACTGGCACATACGCATACACCACATTGCCGATTTCGATTCCGATTCCATCTGCCTTCAACTGCCCTGCCTCGCCGGGCAACTCGCGGGCGAGCTTACAGTGGGCGACGACGACGGAGTCTATCCTGTATAGCTATCATTATACTTTAGCTATGGGCGATACTGCACTGTCTTGGCGACTCCTTTGTGCGTAGGTTGAGATGTAACATATCTTCTCCAGCCTTGCTTCCTCCACGCGTCCCAGTTCCAAGTTGGAGACATTGATTTGGCCGACAGTCGTTGAGCATGTTCGATTGGTCTGAGGATTTCGTGGCACACTAATCAAGACACCGGAGCGAAATTGGGTATCGCACGTCTATGATTACCCAGCTCTGCAAGCCCATACGCCTCTAGAAATGGGAGTGATAGCCAGAACCAAACCAACATGACGACTTTTCATCAAGTGGATCAACAATGCTCATCCTCCTGCGGACTTTGAGCGATGAATCTGTCAAGCTTCTTCCGCAGTGGATGGTCGATCCGAATGCCAACCGTCCGCAGCAGAATGGCTAACTCCCCCGCAAGCCTCCGTCTTTCGTCTGCATCACTGTTCTCCCCTTCTAGTAGCTCCTTCACCGCGCGAGCCAGTCGTCCCTTGGGCTCCTTCGGCCCTGACTGTTTGTTCTGCCCATTCGCCGAGTGCTTCTTCTTGCCCTTCGCTTTGGGAATCGCAAGGAGCGGGTCGATGACCTCGGTACGGAAGCGACGATGCGCCAATGACGAGAGCGGAACGACCCGGTCAGGCGGGCTTGCGGCCTCCGCGCACGCCTCTGCTTGGGCGAGCATCTCTGCCGGGGCGCCGTCATAGTAACCCCATCGCCTCAGTTCCTCCGTTCGCCGCTCCTTCATCCGCTTCTGGATCTTTTCGCGCGTGTCGTCCTCAGTGATTGTCTTTGCGACAGCCTCGAACACGTCCGCGAGCCGGAGCCAGCCCTTGTCCTCGTCGACGGCGCGCTTTACGTAGTGACGGTTCACGTAGTCCAGCAGGCGGTTCACGGACTGCGCCCCTGCACTGTAGCGCGAAAAGCAAGGAAGGAGGTAGTGAATCAGAGAGGAGTCGTCATGGGGCACGCCGAGAAATAGTTCACGCGCAGTGTCTGCGTAATAGCGGTCTAGCTGTTCGTATAGGTCGGTGCCACTTTGCTTCGTCTTGTCTGGTCTTGAGAATGGAATTGACGAAAGAGCCTTTGGGACTGTTGCTGTTGAGTCTGACTGCGAAGTGAAGTAGTTGTATACGGCTGTGTGCAATCCCATGTGATACGAGACTTCAATAGCCGGGGCCTTCATTAGGTTGTTCGTTGACGAGCGTACAATGTGATCCAGCGCAGGCTGAAGATAGCCCCAGAGAGCGGGCAAAGATGCGGAGGGATTCGCACTACCGGTTGACGGGTTCGGTAGTGGTCTGAGGCAGCCGCTGCTGCTCGCGACACCGGCCAGAGCCTCAGGCTGCTTCGACATGCGCACGTTAAATTTTCCCAGCCCTCAAGAGTACGAGTCAAGGCACTAAAACGGGCAAAGTACAGGTCAGCTAGTTGAGTAGAGCCGAAGGAGAGAGCGTACGCGAGAGTGCAGTGGACAAGTTCAAAGTGTGAAGAAGGCGTCCGCAAACAGAACTTTGCATCATGCGACTGCATTTGGCAAGCGCAGCGGAGGCTCTGTACTACATATCCCGGAGGTGAGCACAAGATGGGGTACACTGGCTCGTTAAGGAGATTGAGGCTGTATGCACAAGTGGACGTGTATTACCAGCTATACAGGATTACATGGACGATACAGAAGGCGAAACTTCGACCGTATCCGACGACAGAACTACGCTACATACATTAGGTAAAATATATCTAACCAGGAAGATCCAGAAGCCTATGAGAGATCTGACGACGACAAAGCACGCTTCATCCGAAGTATGTTCAGATCATGCTAGACAACGCCGAGCACCACAGTCGCCCGTAGGCTGACTTCTTTGTCTGCAGCGGCCGTGTCGCGAGGTACACCGTCTCCGTCCAATTCCAAATTCTCTGCTGTTCGCAACGAGCTTGACTTCCAACCCCAGCTTTGGCTCACGGAAAAGACGTCTGGGGCGCTGCTGAAGCGCGTAAGGCTAGAGCCCGTCGAGCCTGCGCAAGCGATGGTAAAGTAGGCACTGACAGCGGCACGCGGATCACGGTATGGCTGAGTAGGAGAGATCGGCGGAGCAGTGGCGGGAGTAGTGGTACTGGTGGCGCTTGTAGAAGAAGGGAGGCCCGAGGAGTAAGAGCTAGGAAGCGAAGATGACATTGCGGGCGTTGATGGCGCAGTATGAGGTGTGGCCGAGCGACTCGTGCTAGGAGTTGGGTATTGCACGGACAACGATGAAAGAGTTTGTTGAAGAGGGGCACCGGTGAAATGGCTTGCCTCTCGTCGAATGGTGTTGGCTGGCGTCGAGAAGTTGCTACCGCACGAGAGACTGGCGGGCGCAGAGGAAGGTGGGATGGGATCAACACAAGATTGCCGGTGTAGGTATACGCCAAGCTGTATACCTTTCTTACGCACAATCTGAACATAGACATTCCACAAACTGCCAGCGTACCAGACAGTCCGAGAGTGTAGACGGCTCTTCTCTTTCAGCGCTTCAACATCCCAGAATTCGACGCTGAATCTGAAAGGCGGGTATGGCGACCAGTTGATTTTGTCCGACTTATTCTCAACACACTGCGACGCGGTGCGGGCGTTTTGCGCAGTGCCGAAAAAGTTAGCTTCAGAACATGGTATGGTTGCACCGTCTGACGCCTTCGCAGGTGACGACCCGCCCTCGAAGATATGGTCCAACGAGGCACCTTCGATACCCGTGTTGTCACCGATACGCTGAGAAGAGTCAGATGGAACGGGATAGTAGGGAGCATCAGGCTGTATGGTGGCATGTAGGGACTTGATCGATGGTTTGTCAAGAGCTGACACCAGCTCTATGTGAGCCACTGTCACGCCTAGCTCCTTGCCATGGGGTGAAGGTTCAGGCGAAGAAGGCGGGGAGGACGCGGAGCCACTGCGGCTGGTGATGGTGTGACGTAGGACAGACTGATCCCAATGAGCAGATTGTAACACCGCCAGTGGAACATAAGGCTTCCCGGTAGTCGGCGACGCGTCCTTCGAAATGGACATCAGCTCGTCCAAACCCTAGATAGGTGGCGCTAGTCAGACAAGTTCATCGCAGCGGTGCAATTAGGATCTCACCATGTTAGTATAGTATATACCTTTAGCAAAGAGATATGCGTATTCCTGCTCCTCCTCCTCCAGTATGCCCTCGGCGCGTCGGAGTTCCACCGCGCGACGTGCAGCATCGTACCGCTCCTTTTCGCCCAGTATGAAGAACATATCCGACGAGAGAAGACCTCGTATCCATCGAGCCGTTAATCCGCCTCTTCGCCAGATCACAGGAATGTTCTGCTTCTTCATGCTGTCCGTTCTGACAAAGGGCATGCTGCTACCGGATCCGCCGGGAACGGTCGATGCCCGTCTCCTATTCCCCGCGGACTGGCTTGATGTAGTAACGTCCGCCACATCTCTTCCAGCCAACTGCAGCTCGTATCGCAACATATCGATTCCCCAGCGTGCAAGCCAGCATGCAGCGGCCTCACCGATCTTGTCAGAAACGACGCCATAGAAGAAATACTCAGGCTCGAACTGCGAGATCGAGCGCGATGAAAATTGACTCGAGTCTCCCTCTGAGGGGTCTTCTTTCTCGATAGACAACTGGCTCGACCCTGCTTCTAGAGTTGAGTCTTTGAGCTTCTCTAGAGGGTTTGTGACGTTCAAAGCTCGGGGTGTCTGCGTGGTAGACTCGTCGACTTCCAAGATTGAATCTCTTTCATCCTCCAACATCTCCGCCACGCTCTCCAGACCTACAGCACCTTCAGGCTCTCCTAGATCAGGCTCGCCAATGCCCCGTCCGAGAGCGAAGTTGAGATATCGAACGACGGTGTACGGGCCGATGGTGTTCAAGACTGAAGACATCGCTTGAGTTGCGATTGGTGTTATCGAAAGGAACACGGCTGTGGCGAGGAGTGACAGCAGAAAACGTGGAGACGCGGGATGTTTGCCAGGAGGGCAGTCCGAGACAGGTGAACACTCGGAGCCTACTTCCAATGGGAAGACAGATGTGAGAGGCTGCTTGGTCGTAGGGATGAGGGATGGTGAGACGAATAGCTCGGGCCCGCCGCCATAGAGGTGCGCGATGCAGACTCTGCCGCGGTCAGTGAGAGTGGGGAGCCGATGGGTGACACTGACTTACTCGAAGGCTGGAGGGCGAGAAAGTGAGACAACAGAAAGCAGGGATCGCTGCAGGGCGAACGCACCTGCTCGTGTGATATTCGAGTCCTCTAGTACGACGTCCACTATGTCCGGTCCCAAGCGGTGAGAAGTCAGCTTAATTTTAGATTCCGCGAAGCCTGACGTGAAGAGAGACCGAAAGAAGCCCTGCACATCAATGGAGCATTAGCATATGGCAATCATAACGGACTAATTAACTTGGGGATGTGCAGCTGATGAGAGAATGCATGCAGAATGGTCGACTTGGTGGACAGCTCACGTAAAAATAGCCGCATAATCTAGCTACTTACAGCTTGAATCAGAACTACTCTATGGAGTTTGTAGATCGCGTGCCAGGACCCACGAATGTGAAGCGCGACATCTGCGGTACGCCTCTCGAGGAAGGCAGTATAGATGTGGTTCTGCAGTGAAGCTGGTGATGGCGCATTGGCGAGACTAGGACTACCAGGCTGACTACCCATGGCACGACCGTCTGAGTCCGGTTTGTGTTCTCTACGCAAGTTCGGGAGAGATGACGTGACGGGAAGACGGAGGCGGCCTGGGATGGTGGGAGGCTGGTGGGTGGAATAGGAGGACATGGCCTGGGGAGAAAAGGGATGGTGCATTTCGCCCTTGCGACTTATTCAGCTTGGCATAAGCCTGTGAGTTTAAGGACCGAAGTTGTAACTCTCGGTTAAGGCGAGCAATGAGCGCAGCAGACGAGGCCAGAGCAGGCATGCGACGCCCACGGGAGCTATTCCACCGTATCATCTGATTCACTCCGTACTTACTTCATATCCTTACTACTCTCTAATCACAATACAAATCACTGTTTGACTGGTTGAAATGCCCGGACCTTCAGATCCAGATCCAAAGCGTTCTCAGGCACGGCTCCGACCAGACCATGTCCTACCCCCAGCCCCATCCTCGCTTCTCCGTACTCTCTTCATCGTCCCTTACCTCTCTGGACCATCTTTCGCCCGCATCGTCATCCACCCGCTTTTCGCTGCCAGCAGCTCCGTCAATAAACACTACCTTGGCGACACCAAGACCTGGCGTTCGACCTAACGTCTATGACCGCAACCTCAACAAGACCCGAGCAGCCGAGGTTTCTGCTTCGGCGTTCGCCTTTCTTTTCTCAGAGGTGGTACAGTACACACAGAAACGCGTGAGTGGTATTGCAGACCTTGAGCGAAGGTGCGCGATTTGGATGTCTCATCTTCGTCGCGCTAATCACAAATGCAGGCTGAATACCTTAGGGTATCGCGTCGGTGTCCGTGTCGTAGAACTCATGTCATGGAGGAATGAATCTTCTTCAAAAACGCCCAAACGAGAGATACGATTCCTTCCGGCCCTTATGTCCATCCATACGCACGTGTGGCGAACAGTATTTGGAAAGCCAGCTGATGCTATCGAGAAGAGTGTAGAGAACCCGGATGAGTGTATGTGTGTTCAGCCTCCTGGGGGCCTGTGGTATTCACTTAGAGCGCAGACATGATTATTGACAATGATCCACCCATCACCCGCAATGTCTCCGTTCCTCGCGATATGAGCCAGCTCAGTTGCTCCTCATTCACTGCAGGCATTGTAGAAGCCGTTTTAGATGGGTTGGGATTTGTGAGCCTTGCCTTCCCCTATGCTGATTGCTTGATATCCATTCAGGTTTTCAGCCTGCGCGCGTCACGGCACATAATACCCCCACCGATGCATTCCCTAATCGCACGACCATCTTGATAAAGTTGGACAAGGCCGTCTTGGAGCGGGAGGAAGCACTCAAGACATGAAATAGTTAGCTACTTGCTGTATGATCGTCCGGAATGCCATGTCGATTTCAACAAGGCTGATCACGTGGGGAATCCCTGCGCGCCCCGAGGATAGTCGTAGATATGCCAATCGTGTGCGTTCGGCCACACGGACTCAATCTCTGTCCTCGTACACCATCTCCAGCACCCAAGGTACGCTATACTCACCATCCGCACTACTTCAACTAACGATATCATCACAGTTATTCAGAAGATGGTCCGTGTCCACACGCTGAACGTTGAGCCTCCTGTCGCGAATGCGTCATGCGCATGGGCGTCGGATTATAGCCAGCTGCGAGAGCTTTATGAATCTCGCGATACTGGGGCTGTTACGACGCGCACGGCTACATTAAACGGTTTTCAGGAGAGTGAAAGGCATACCGTATGATAATCAATCTTGTGGATGTATTTCTGTTCTTGATGTGTGTATACACAGGTCGTCTTCATGTCAAATTCAGCGTCTACGCTGAATTCTTACGGTTACTCCCCTCACCCTCTACGCTCGTATGCTGAATGGGTAAAAGCACTCCTCACCATGCCGACTCCAGCAGTCCAAACCCCATCGAAGCCTATTATCATCAGCATAACATCTTCAACGCCAAAAGAGCTACGGGACATGATTGCTATCATCCAAGCCCTTCGGTCGGAGCTCGAGGCCTTGGGCGTTAAGCCGACACTCGTTGCTATAGAGCTGAATACATCCTGCCCAAACATTGAAGACACACCCCCACCTTCATATCACTTCCCGTTGTTGCTTCCCTTCCTTGAAGAGCTTGCTGATGCCTACTTTGCCAATCCTTCACTCACTATCGGCCTGAAGCTCCCGCCCTATCTCTACGCCACCTGCTTTCACGACGCCATCAATGCCATTGCGTCATTCTCACGCCCATCAGCAGGTGATTTTGTGGCCACAATCAACCCGTTTGCCTTCATCGCCTGCACCAACACTCTTGGCTCATCTTTGCTCTATTCTGATCAAGTTAAGTCAGCTATAGATGCGGATGCAACCTTTGCTCTTCCAACTCCACTTGGAGGACTGGGTGGAGAAGCTATTCATGCTATTGCACTTGGCAATGTCTACCACTTCTCTAAACTCATTAGCCAACACTCTGATTATGCAACTAGGAATATCAGAATATTTGGAGTGGGAGGTGTGACATCTGTGGCTGCAGCAGAAAGAATGTATAAAGCTGGTGCATCAGTTGTTGAATGTGCTACTTTATTAGGAGAAAAGGGAATAGTAGGTTTTAGCATGTTTCAAATAGTTAAACACTATATATAGAATTACTGTGTTAAATGAAAAAAATGTTAGGACACAGAATGCATATTAGTTTGTAGTATTTCTAGTATAGCTGCAGTAGCTGTCAAAAATAACATATGTAATTGCAAAGAGGTGTCAAAATCTCTCTGTATCTTTATGACTGCTGTAGCTAGCTATATGGTGTATATATCAATCTTACACTAAGTTACTTGTAGCATTTTTCTGAGGTGTCATTTTGATGCAGGCACTAGGTGCTAGAAAAAATGTGGTGAAAATGGCTAGAAAATGAATATATATTGTGAAAATTACAGAATAATATAGACTACAGAGTAAAACATGCTTAGATTCAAGTAAGATTCTATACTATGTACAGTATACTAGCACCAGTTAGTGCATTAGTGTTAGTTGGCACACTAGCACCAGTTAGCACACTAGCATCAGTTAGCACAGTAAGCATTGGCCTTGCACTATAGGCACTTTTGCAATTTATTTATGCACTATCATATGCAGGCCATGTATGTCTAAGTCTAAGTCAGGTAAAAATCTAGAATTTGTCAGTGTGAGCAATGCAGAGGGCTAAATACCATGCTTGGAAAGCTGGTGTGTGTGAAAACACAATTGCTCAGACAGGCTTTCATGAGCAATTCACCATCTTTCTACTGTTAGAATGTTGTTCGCATATGCTAAATAATGTTTGAAAAATATTCTGTTTGTAAATTATGCTCTAACTTCAGATATAATGCAGAAGGATACACTTTTGCAAAATTTGTGCTCAAGACAGTCCATCACGTAACAAGTCTGATGCTTTTAGAGTTACATGTACTACAGCAGAACCCTGGCAATATGGTTGCCAGCAAAAACATTGACTATCCATAATATTCACTGCTCACACACACAGCTGGAGATTTATAGTGTTCTATGCACTTTCAGAGAAAGCCAAACAGCTTATCAA